AAATATATCTATTTCCATCATCTCCGATGGAGCCAAAATTTCACCATTTTTTGGCTTTGGGGTGTGATGGAATAAATCAAAATGGATCTCTAAACTGTCTGCGCTTCTTTAATTAATGAAGTAGCAGTTAGTCAAGCAATGCAACTTTCGACGTTGAGCCGGGGGTCTCTTTGGAAACAGCCTCTCTACTTTCAAGTAGGGGCAAGGTCTGCGTACACACCCTCCCCAGACCCTACTCTTGTGGGATTTAACTGGGTTGTTGTTGGTAATGTAAATATATCACATAAATGTAATATGATGTAGATATAGTTTAAATTTCAAATTTCAAAAATTTAACATCCAAATGATAGAAATTATGTCACAACAAAGTCTCAAAAACCATCAAGAAAAGTAGAATTGAAAAAGTCATTGCTTGACAACAAAGTCTCAAAAATCTTCAAGACACGTTGAATCAAAAACGTCATTGCTTGCATTTTGGGGACGGTGGTGCTTGGCCAAAGTCATCTTCGACATCTTCATCATCATTTGGCAACACGTCTGGCTCACCATGACCATCACCATCTTGAGATTCTTGAAAAAACAACTTCATTACTAATATGAACAGTCAGTTTTGCCTTTCGATGAAATTACAATCTGTTACCTAGTCATGAAAATCCAAAACACTTATTTGGAGACAAAACTTTACCAAATGTGGGATTCACTCAGAATCAAAGGAAGTGATAAAGCTCTATAGTCTTTTCGATTGCCCAAGGCCTTTTTGGGGGAACCTCACCATCACTCTCTCTCTACTTAATGCAGATTAATGAGGATGAACCGGTTCTCCAGGCATTCAAGTTAATGAGACAAAAAGGTGTGGGTGGACTACCTGTGGTTGAAAGTGGTGGAAGCAAAGCAATTGGTAATATAAGCATCAGAGACATTCAGTTCCTTCTTATTGCACCTGAAATCTACAAGGACTACAGGTTTGTCTAACCTTTGATAAAAAAGTTTTCACTATTTAGATTTTAGTACTAAATGAAACTATACTGCCCCATTTTGCGAAAGACTAATCTCTCACTCTCTCTCTCTCTAGTACTTCGTACTAAAGAGTAAAGACTAGAGATGGCATTACAAACTACCGAGTATACTCTCTAGTCTCTACTTATTACAATGCAGAATTGACCAAATCACACAAATCAAAGAAACTAGTTGATTTTCTTGGCTTTTGGAAAAAAAATTGATGCTACACATATACCTTATTTGATATTTTGATAATGCCTCATAAATATATCCTTCAAGGAATTGAACATAACACTACATGTAAAGCCAACCTACCTCACACTCTCTATGGTGGTACTCTTCTCTAAATCCACAGCAGGGATGCTTTGTGCACTGAGCTGCCCTTTTATAGGTAAAGCGAGTGAATGACTTTTAAAAAACCCCATGGCCCCTATAACAACATGCCTTATATGAGGTCATTGAATCAGTCTTTAGACGGTGAAAGGATATATGGTTTATCTTGTTGCATCACAACACTTGTATCCCATCCCGTGGGTTCTCGGCACCCATTTTCCCTGGCACGTCCCATCTCATGTTACTTATAAGAAGCGAGAAGTCACGACGAGACCAGCTTTAGCCACAAACTTTGCAACCTAAAAAAATATTATATCGGCATAACAATGAATACGGTGCAGATCCATCACAGCAAAGAACTTCATAACAGCAATCCAACGGTACACGGGGGAGCAGGCAAAGGACTTGCCACTCCCAAGTGGGATGGTGACATGCAGAAGAGACGACAGCCTCAAGGAAGTGATCGCGAAGCTCGACTCTTTGAAGATCCATCGGATATACACGGTCGATGATGATGGGAATCTAGAGGGTATCATCACTCTCAGAGACATTATCTCAAAGTTGGTGCACGAACCTCGCGGTTACTTTGGAGATTTCTTTGATGGTGTCTTGCCACTGCCTCCCAACACCAGGGTCTGATATGTGTATATATAATATATATACATAAACAACACATCCAAGTCTGACCTTCTCTGCTGATCTCTTCAATACCTTTTTCTTAATAATGGACACTCTTATTGAGAACTTTCCAGTGTGTGTATGGTTTCCCTTTCTGTGTCTATTCTAATTACAGGGAAAATAAATTTCTTTTGTAAGTACTGTTTGGGTCATCTTGTATGTGAGGAAACGAGGAATTCTTTTTCCTTCTTCTGTCTCAATATATTTGATAATTTCATTTCACACTTTTATATGTACAAAAAATATATGGAGTATGCTCTTCAAGCCTCGTAAATTTATGATGGAAATGACTTGGTTTCTTTGGTACACTATGCCCTTTCTATAAAAGGAGTGTTTGGTATGGAGGGAAATGAGTTTGGATGGAATAGGTTTGATAAAAAGAAAAATCAAATAATTTCCTATAATTTGGAGTATGTTTTAGTCTTTGACAAACCTCTAGGAATTCATTTGGCAGAAATAGTAAAATAACACCTTAGAGCGAATGAGTTACTAAGGCCATGTTCTCTTCGAAATGTATGAATATATACTAGATTACAATGTAGTAGAGTCAGTAGCATTAAAAAAATCATGTTCTTTTGCGTGATTTGAATGGTCATGATCGAATTGAAATAAGTCTTGATCTGATCTGAATATAAGAGCATTGACAGTGGCGAATATTCTAATAGAATGCCATGAGATAATGTGTTACCTTCCAACAAATCAAAATCAATCGTGTAAAGACTGGCATTCCATGGTTTGCAATAGCAAGTCACTCCAATTGTTGTGTGGCATGAAAAAGTTGCAGATTTGGGATGGCAAATAGGTGGCGATTTTCCAGGCAAAGTGTACAGGCGGCCAGCAATTTCGCATGGGGATGTACGCTCGGCAATTTCGCACTCCGGAGGGATCGGCCAACGATTTCGCACAGGGGGAGAGGAGAGATCACAACAATTGCCGACGATAGTCACACCGGCGAAGGCAGACAGATGGCGGAGAAGGTGGGTGGTAGTTGGGGTGGTGTGGCCGGTAATGTTTGGGTGTGGATTGGGGTTGCGATTACGGTGGCGAAGGGATTTGGATTTGCCTCGCAAAGCAGGGTGCCTCACCCATAGGCACGCGTGGCAGACTCACTCCTCTCTCTTTCCACGAGTTTGCAAGAAGCGGCTCTCCTCTCATGGCAGGGCGAGACAATTTTTTTACTTGCCCCTGCCAATGCTCTAACAATATTTAAAATTGTTTTTGATCTAATTTTAAAAAATAATAAAAAGTTAAAATAAGTTAAAGAGAACATGACCTAAATATGTAGTCTTTATTTAAAACCTGCAAAGAAGAAAGCTAACACTTTGATTAACCTCTATATATTTGTTAAATTGTGTGAACTTAGGTACTTGTTTTCAAAATTTTTAATAGGATATACATTAAAGTCACAAATGAGTCATTAACTATTAATTCAAAAAACAAGTATTTATCGGGGATGGACAAGAGTCGTAATTCCAATTAAAAGAGGTATGACTGTATGAGTGTAGGGCCAAACGCAATTTTTTGTGGGGATAAGAAAGAAGCTCTCAAAAATGATAATTTTGTTATATATGGTGATAGTTGCTAAAATACAAAATACACTCGTCAACAAAATACACCCCGAATATATTATTATAACATTATTCAAAAAAGTTATATAACTCTATTATGTTAAAAAAATATTATAAAAGTTATATTATATATATATTAGTTTTAATTTTAATTATAAAACATTGGTGCCTCTTCTTTTAATTTTTGATTAATTAAAATAACTTTTATTGTTAATACATTGAATGACCATTGATTTTATATAAAAATCTTCTATATTCTAAGTATTATACCAATATGTATTTTAATTTTTTTTAATCTACATAGTTATTTTATTATTTTAAAAAGACAGTTATATAAATATTACTTAAAAAAAGTTATACGGAGTATAATCTTTAAAATTATTCCCCATTAATTTCTTTAATTTATTTCCAAGAGAAAAAATATATATAAATGTTAATGAATTTTAATTATTATTAAAACTACAACTTTTATTTAAAAAGATATCATATTTAATAATTAAAATATACTCCGTATTTAGTAGAATAAAAACAAATTATTATTAAAACGTTATTACATTATGATTCAAACTAGAACTTTTATCAAAATCTTAAAATTGCTAAATGTTGGATGTGAGTACATGGATTAAAAAAATAATTTTTTTGAATAAAAATCAAAAGTAATTTTGAAACTAATAGAGTAAATTTAGGCAGCGTTCTGTTCAACTTATTTTTATTATAATCTGATTAGACTAGATTAGAAATAACTTTAATTATAACTGCAATCAGATCAAATCAGACCAGATCTTTAAATAATCAGATCAGTTCAGGCGAACGGAACACAACCTTAGTGTGTGGATTGAAATTAGTGTTTGGATGACCACCCTTTTCTTATTATTTACATATGCTTTTTAGCGCTTCTCCTGTGAATCTCGAATTAAATTTTCTCACATAAATTAGTTAAAAATATTATACTCCCCCATGCCAAAATATTTGTCATATTACGCAAAATGAAGTGAAATTTTAAGTTTTTGAATTTATTTTATTTAAAGTTTGGTATAGAATTAAAAAATAAAATTTATACATCTAAATACTACATCAAAATTTTTTTAAAATAATCTATCACAAAAATATATTTTATTTTATTAAATAATCGATTAAAACATATAAATAAAAAATTTCTCCTAATTTTTGAATAATAAATTGTGATATCTATTTTGAACGGAGAGAATATACATTTTTTTCTTGACCTTATAAAAAATGTTTATGTAAGTATTTAGAAGATGCCTAAAGTCTTAGGATTTGGGAGTATAAGAATAGGCCCATTTTTCTTAGTTAGAAAAAGAAAGAAAATTGCAAAACTTCCCGCTAAAAGATTGCCAGGCACTTCTTCCCGCCACTTTTCGCACGCCCAAATGGATAAACCCCTATTTCCCACCTTGGCGGCAAATCGTTGTTACCTTCCGCTTTTAACGGCAAAGTATGAAACCGAGAGATCTGGCGTTGATCTCGGTCGCCGGATTGTTTGGCGCCGCCGCATATGCCGCAGTAGTTCGCGTATTTCTCCGCCGCCGAAAATCCAGTCCGCCGCCCACGTCTTGCGCCGAGTTGGAGATCAGTGAGGGACGGAAACGTTCCTTGAAGAGCCCGTACGACCCATCTAAACGAGAAAGGTAATGAATGATGCACTCCATATGTGTGAAATATATTCTCCCTTCTTCAATTTAAAGCTATTTTCGCAAATTGATTTCGGATATTACAAATTTTCAACTGCAGTTATTTGTCGTGGGATGATTATTTCATGGCGATTGCCTTCCTCTCTGCAGAACGGTCCAAAGATCCCAATAGGCAGGCAATATGTTGTGCAGCTTGTGTATTTATTTTTCATGTTTTTTACTACATTTTTAGACTCCTTGTAAAATTTTGCAGGTTGGGGCTTGTTTGGTGAGCCAAACTGGTATAATACTAGGTGAGATGCATTTTACTTTTTTTTTCTACAGTTTGACTCCATGAAGCTTTATACAAGTTTAAGATTATTTTTTTTTGAAGACGTAGAATTATTGGCAATGAATTAGTTGTAAGATACGAAATTCCAATTTCTCTCAAATGACTTAAATTTATGAATTTTTTTTTACATTTTGAATTGAATCCCTAACATGTGTAATTTTGTTTAGAAAACAGCTGAAATTATTCAAAAACAAACGTAGTTTTGGTTTCCAAAATGTGCTCTGACTGCAAGAATTAGCTCCGTTTTCTTACATTCATTCATGCCCATGTTTTTAGTCAGGCATTGGTTACAATGGATTTCCACGCGGTTGTTCTGATGACAAACTGCCTTGGGCTAAGGTTTGTATCGTTCAGTAAGGGACTTTGTGATTCATGAATATCCATCCATCCTAACCTGTCAATGTCTTTCAGAAATCCAAAACTGGAAATCCCTTGGAGACAAAGTACCCGTGAGTAACGTGTATCTTAATGTATACTTCAATTAGGAGATCTATTGTTTACATAAGTACATCATAAATGAAATTCATAATGAGCTCATGGAGAAGGTTTCTTTAACTCCGTATGTTTTTTTCTGCAGTTACGTCTGTCATGCTGAAGTTAATGCTATCCTGAATACAAATCATGCATCAGCTGCAGGGCAGGTCAGCTGTAGTACTGTGAATCTGTGATCGATTCACCCTTCACCCACTCCCCCTATTTCGAAACTGGCAATCAAAAACTTCATTGTGTTAGGTTATCCGATAAAAATACAAACCAAAATATAAGTCCATGGACTACTTCTGGCAGGTTTATCTGTTAGTATACAGACACAAGCTTTAACTTTTGGTTGAGTTGGTTCTTTGACAGTATAGAATGCCAAGTCTTAATACATTGGCTCTCTTGTTATGAACGTATGATCATCAAAGCTGCTACTTAATGTCATGTGTTTGCCTTCTAATCATGCAGAGGCTCTATGTCACCATGTTCCCTTGCAATGAATGTGCCAAAATAATTATCCAGGTGATTCAATAAAATATGTGCATCCGGATAATTCACTTTTGCACCAATTGCGGCTCTTATATATTTATCTTATACTCCTAGTAACCTGATAACAGTTTGAAAAAATTGAAATTTGCTCTCCGTGCTATAACATGCACAAATACTTGTGATTGCAGTCAGGTGTTTCAGAAGTTGTTTATTTTGTGGAGAAAAGGTTGCAGTGTTGTGATACGACTTATGTTGCTTCTCATAAACTTTTATCAATGGCTGGCATTAATGTAAGTCTGCAGTGAATGAGAAAATCTTTCCAAGAATATAGTGCAATAAATTTGAGTCTCTTAATTTCTTACTGGGGCTGCTGTTTTTATTGATCCTTTATATTCCCCCAACACAATTCCTCTCTCGTTTGTAAACTACACAAAATACTCTAGGATTTGCCCGGTCATAAGATAATTGGGTCTAACCGCATTAAAAGATTGAATCTAATCGGTCAGTTAGTTCAACTCTAGGCTTTATTGAAACATCATATATTCTTTTCCTAATTTTCCGATGTGAGATACTTTAATAGTAGGGCGTTGAAGAAATGGCATTCATTTTCTCTTTTTGCTATTATTTTTGCTTTGTGATCCTTTCTTTTCATCATCTCATTTATAGGTAAGGCGGCATGTCCCAAGGATGAATGAGATCTCAATTAAGTTTGATGAGCTATAGAAGTTCACACAAGTTCACAACATGGGAGTATTAGCCTTTTGGATCAATGTCAAGTATGTGGTTGTTTATTATGCACTTGATATGTTGTTGTTTATTATGCACATGTGCATGCTTTATAATATTGTTAGGAAGAAAATTATAGACAATGTTGTATATGTACACCTAGTTTGCACAAACAAGTATTACATCTTTCTTTGTCATAAATGAGTTTTTCTTTGTTTTTGTGTGTGCCCACACAAAGTGAAAATCAATTTGGTTATAAATTCTTATAATTAATTGAGTGTCACTATTGTGTTCCAAATCATGGATTGGGATTTCATGTTTAAGAGTTGGAGTATTTCTTAAAGTGCTTTTGGATAGTGAATTGAAAATCAATTCGGAGTAATATTTATCAAATTCATTTGGGACTAATGTTTTAACCTTAAAATGTGCATAAAAATTTACTCAAACTTGTGTACACAAATTTCAATAAACAATATTGATGGGTATAGTAAGATCCACCAAAAGATGTATAACGATGAGGATTCAATATATTCAGTCCATTGTAGATCTAATGTTGCATTGGATAATTCTTAAAATTTCTTGTTTTTTTATCAAACTATTATGTTATAATCCTGTTATTCCGGCCAATTTATATTGCATAACATTGTGCGCCCAATTATAAGTCTCATAAGTGTAATGTGCAACTCTCATACATATACATAGTATCTTGTATGATATGATCTAAACGTTGAGTAAATTAATCATATTTACGTAATACGGAGTATACGATTATAAGATTATTGTTTCTCCTTGTGGGAGCGATAACTAACCTTAATAATCATTTATATTTTTTGTGAATGATGAACTCAACAAATTTAATCACTTGAAGTATGAGCGGATAGTGACATATGTGATTTTTATGCAAAATAACACAAAATTGAAATCTCCAAATTTTCAAAGGAAAAAGAGACTAAACCAGAATTAATACATAAAGAATATGTTAAAATAAGAGTTTCATGTTTTTATTCTCAAAATATGAGCTATAATACAAACACAATGTCAATCATGTTAATATATAATACGAAAATGTATTGTTAAATGTCTATATACCGTGTCACATTATCATAATGCAAACTCTTATTTTGGGAATAAAAACATGAAACTTATATTTTGGTATTTTCATTATTTTTTACTCCTATTTAGAGTGATTTCTTATTTTTAAAAACCATACTACTTTAGTAAAACCATATTCTTTTGGATTAGAATAATTAACTTCCAATTTTTTCTAATTCCTTCCAGTTTTTCCAACTCCTTTCAGTCTCTTCCAACGAGTTAAAAAATGTATTTATATATGACAATATACAATAATATTAAATCTCTAAACTTATAACATATCATCTCAAACACTGATAAGGGTGATTTTTTATAAATTTAAAATTAGAATTTTCTTACATACTCTATTTCTTTGAGTGATCATTTAATTGAGTAGCTTTTTAATATTTTAGTTCTTTCAAAATTTTCCAACTCATTTGATTTTTCCAACTCATTTTAGTTTTTTCCAACTTCTTTTAGTTTCTTCCAACACGCAACTCTGAAATTTCATACATGCACGAAAAAATGTATTACCAAAATCGAATTTGTTATTTATAGTCATTTATTAAAGTGTTTCTTATATGCACAAAAAAGTGTTTCATATGGTAATCTTATAAAATCATTTCTTTTTTAGAATATAATTTGGTGTACTTTTTAATTGTAAAATTGAACAGGGAAAAATAAAAATAAAAAACACATTGCGAAAAAATAGTTTCATTTTTATTTGAGTAAATTCGATAATTGATCTTTAATAACATTTTTTTTCCATATTTAGTCTTCTATCATCAAATATTACGTCATGATCTTTTTTATTAGTACCTGATGAAATTAAACACGTTTAATAAAAAGATAAGTCCAACGGGTAATCGAACCTTTAGTATAAAATGGGCCAAAGAAAGAGTTACATGAGAGATTGGGCCCAAGCCTGGATGAAGTGGCAAGAGAATGTCAATCCCACGGATCGGGGTGATTATTGACTAATTCTCAGGACATTAATTGACACACGTTAGATCAATCGTGGCGAAAAATCAAGGCAATGATTACATGTTCTGTACGTCATAATATGTAACAATAAATAGAGGGTAAAGACTCCATTGTAAACTCCGCTGAATTAAAATAATACAAGTCTTATTGAGATTATATTTTGAGAGTTTTGGGATATTATTCTTGTTATTGTTTTTGTGCATCCATAGCTAGAAATATTTGCACTAAATAGCACTAAAACTTAAGTCATTTCTCTAAATAGCACTTAAATTGTTTTATTCCCTAAATAATACTAAATAATGTCCATAATGACCAGTGATGATAAATATTTACTTGAATAATGACTAATGGATAATGACTAAAAGTGCTACATTGGGAAAAAAACTCACGTAGTGCTATTTAGGGAAAGTCATTATGTTTTAGTGCTATTTACGTAAATTCATCTCCATAGTTATTAGGCTGAAATCTATATAAATATATAAAATATAAATTTGATATTTCAAAATACTATGTTTCAAAATAAATTTATCAATATTAATTAAATATACATAAAATTCATTGTATCTTTTCCATAATTTTTGGTTAAAATTTAAAAATATTTATTATGAAAAATCAAATGAGAAGAAACAAAATGAAAAGAGGGACAAATTAATCTAAGAAATTAGGGTCGTCCCCAAGAAAACATATATAGGTCTAGCAAGAAATGTAGAAAATGAACCATTGTCATAATGAAGTCTATCAATTAATTTTTTAAATAATAATTAACATTATAATAAAATTTCAAATTCAATCATAGTATATATATATATATATATATATATATATATGCACAAAAAATGAAAAAAAGTTTAGGCCCTTCCAAAAATAAGTCCGAATTAGATGATCATCTTACTTATGCCCTGAGTTGCTCCTATCAAGTGGGAGGAAGGATTGTACGTACTTCCTCTGTACTAATGTATTATTCTATTTGTAAGAATGTATAAAATGTATAACTTTTAAAATAATACGAAGGATTAGCCAAAGGCATTATGATCCAATAATATGATGGAGATTCTCTCATACGAGGGGTATTTACTATACGTTATGAGCAAATATTACATTATCCCGTGCTTCTATGGTGTATATTATTTTTGTAAATATTCTCATATAATTTTTTTATTTTTTTATTTTTTTTAAATATAAATTTCTACGTAGTTAGAAATTGTTTATAATAGAATTATTATTAGTGTTCAAAAAATACAAAGGATTTATAATTACAAATTAATTTAGAAACAAAAAGTACACCAAAATAAAGAGTAGTACTCTTTCGGTCCTGGAGTATTTATCAACATTTAATTTTTTTCGATCAAAATTGGTAAGCTGTGACCCCAAAGTAAATAAAAATAATATTAGATATTGATATAAAAATAATTTTATTAGATTTATTATATGTAATATTTTCATAAAATTATTTTATAGAGTTAATATAAAATATTTAATTTATTTAATTATAAATAAAAAAATTAAAATAATAAATTTAAAAAAGTTAAAAGTGGATAAATAATATTAACGAGTACACTTTTAAAAATCACTGCTTATATTTTATCGGCTCTCTCACTACTCCTGGACTGGTAGACTAACGAGTGCTACCTAAATTCAGGTTCATCATCTTCATCATCATCAATCACCAATCATCTGTAACTCCGCACCCATGGTTTCCACCAGAAGAAGTGGATCTCTGCCCTCTTCCACTTCCAACAACAACAGCAGCAGGAGATCCCGCTCATCTTCCGACGACAAATCTCCTTCCCCCAAGCGCCACAAAGTATCCGATCAATTCTTGGATTACTCATTTCACTCGATTCCTCTGTCTCTCTTTTCTTTTTCTTGAAATGAATTCTGGGTTCGATCAATTTCAGGGAGAGAGTGATAATGCGGATTCGTCCGAGAAATCCACTGCTCCGGTTGAGAATCCCAAGGAGTCGAGCTTCACTGGTCCGCCGCCAGCGGCAGCAGATGCCGGCGCCTCCTCTCCCAAGGCGGAGCAGACTCCTTCCGTCTCTGTTGCTACGCCTGTCGCTCAAGGTTGGAGTTCTATTGGGTTTCTTGTATGCAAGCCACCAGGTATCTATGGTGTTTTTTTTTTAACTTGGTGGTTTTCTATGGAATTTTAGGAGCGGCGCCTGTAGTAGTTGACAAGCCCAGCTCTGTATCGGCGAAGAAAAATTATCAAGGCTGTGAATTGATGAGGACGCCTTGGTGTAGGCTACTGCCAGAGAGTTCTAAGGTCAACTCGAATTGTTTTTTTTTTTTAAATTTCATTGTGATCCACCCTCTATCTCTTAGTACCCGGTCTGCAATCTCTGTGTTTCATTTCTTGAATGATAGTGCATTAATCCATTTTCTGCTTGGACAAGGCATGTCTACAGATTGTCTCACACCACACCAACAATTTCACAATTTTTTTGTTCAATGTCATTTTTTCTGAGAAAACTCACTTTCTTCTTCTGCTTTTTCCACTAACAAAGTGGCATTGATATCCATAGAAGTTTACTTTTAGAGTGAAATGTAATGGTGGGTGGATTCTTTACCAAGTGTAAAACATTTGGATGAACCCTGAATAGAATTTTTTCCCCCAAATTCTGTGACTAAGTTCCTCTTATGATATCATCTAGATTTCTGATGATACAGCACAAGGGAGAGCCACACCCTAAAAGCTAGCTGTTAAGGTGGGAGAATCCTTGACTATATAAACCCATCACCAAGTTCCCCATTTAACCGGTGTGGGACAATAAAATCAGTCCGTATCATTCGACCCCCCATAAGGCCTGACGTCCTTGTTGGTCACGGCTACGTTGGTCATGGCTGGCCACCACTCCGAGTTGGCTCTGATACCATTGATACAACACAAGGGAGAGCCACACCCTAAAAGCTAGCTGTTAAGGTGGGAGAACCCTTGCCTATATAAACCCATCACCAAGTTCCCCATTTAACCGGTGTGGGACAATGAAATCAGTCCGTATCATCTGACTTGCTAGCTTTTGTAGCTCCAATGCACTCTTCATGTGTTGTATGCCGTGAAGTAGCCGTGAGCCCATATTAGGTTATTTCTCTTGAAATTGAGCTAATATTCCATCAATAGACCACACGATTAAACGCATATTGTGTGTTGGATTCACTCTTTCAGGTTCTTCTTTAAATTCTGTTCAAAATATCAGTTGATAATCGTATATCATCCTCCATTACACATCTCCGCATTTGAGGTACCCTGCCAGGATGTGGCACTTTGATTTTTCTCAACCCTTAATACTTGTTCTACATCTTTTAAAATCTAACTATCCATAAATAACATCTTTTGATGAAACCATTTTGGGTCATGGGCTAACTTGTTCTTGTGTAATGAAATCCCTTTTCGTTCAACAATTGTTTTTTCCAAGCATTATATTCCCTCCGAGGTACTTGATACTCATATTTCAGTTATTGATGCTTTCAAACTTTTATGATACTTGTCAGGACATTGTTTGTCAGTTTCCTGATGCCATGATGAGTTGATCATATGCAGGCTTATCGATGGCGCAAATGGTGCACACCATAAATCGCCACAAATGTGGTCATGGCAACCAATCTTCCCATTGCAATGCCATTTCGGTGCCTTTGCCTTTCTTGTGCAAAATTGTCTTTTTTTTGCCCAAAACTTTTCGATATACTTGGGCAGAATTCATGAAAAAAACTTTTTACTCTCGGTCTATAGTCACTCTCAACTCGTGCCTCTAACATTCTCCAGATGCTATTTTACTTTGCACCTAGTCGTCTTTGCAGAATGTCGTCATCGCGACTTTCTTCTTCTTTGCTAGTTGCGGCTTGAGAAGCGAGGAACACTACGAGTCGCACAACTCTGACCTGGGAACACTGCAACTTTGCTATAGGTTCCTTGCCTAGTCTGCGACCTCCGACCTTTATATCAGTTTTATTTTAAATTAATTTATGGGTTTTGCTTAAGTTGCTAGATTGAACTTTTATCATGTTTAGTTTGAATTAACTTTTGTGTTTTGCTTAGTTTGTTTTGATACTAGCACCTTTGGGTGTTTTGGAATGAATTTTTGGTTGCATTTTTACTTCCAACATTAGATCAAGTATTCTACGGAGTATTATTTTTTATTGATTTTATATCTTATAAATTTGTGAATTTAGTTAGTTGGTTGTGTGACTTGTATCATGTGGCAATGACATATTTGCGCCATTGCCATCGCCAAAGGAACTTGCTCATCACGATGATTGTCGCCATGCGCCAAGACAACTATGATCATGTGTATCCAATACTTTAAAGTGAAAGTTAAGAACATTTATTATGGAGTATTTCATTTGGTTATATTTTAAAACCCAATGGCATGAGTTGAGATTATGAAGTATTTAAAGCGTCTATGTGCTCTATAGTTGAAGCAATTCCTGACATCTGTAGTGTAAGGTTTCCTTTTAAAGATTATTGTATATGTATAGTTATTTGGCTTACGATAATTGTGAGCTAGGTCAAAATGTTTTCTAATTTCCTCCTTAGCGATGCAACCAGAAAAAAACATATCATTTGCAATATATAGATGAATACTTGCATCAACACCAATGCCCATCTTTTTTTCCCCATTTATTGTCATTTATGAATCTTGCTGGTCTATCACCAATAGTTACAATGCAATTATATATTTCGAGATAACCTTGTTCTCTAGACCTTTACTTCCATAACGAGAGATTGTTCGTGTAGAACTTTTCAATATAATTTTTTTTATCACATCACTTCTATCATTGTATGCTTTAAGCAGATCAAAGATCTGTTTCTACTGTTTCACATGAATAGTAACTATATGTTTCAGTAGTACAGTACACAAATGAATTAGGACTATGCACATGAAAAAATTCCCTCTACTATCGAAGTATGCTATGATACTATTTGGATTGAAAATTGACATGGGAACAAGGCAACCTCATGCCTGATGGTAGGAAGCAATGATTTTGGACCCACTTATTTAAGATTGTCTACTATTTTTCTTCATTATTTCTCTCACATCACTATCTGTAGTCTTTTTTGATATGGTGGTACATTGCACCAAATTTCCTTCCATTTTTAGTTGATGTAAAGTGCATTAGAAGTTGTCTCTTATGGTGGCTTTATTCTTTAAGTTCATTGTGGCAATAGTGATCATATCTATTGCATTTTGATGTGAAATGATAACTTAATGCAGAACTCGACTGTGCCTATCTATACATCAAATTTCTTGGTTGGCTCAAGCAAGTCTGCAAATCTTTTAATAAATGACCAAACAGCTAGTGGTATCTTATGTATAATAAGACATGCACAGGTATTGCTGTTTAATGTTCTGCTTTTATGTCTCCCATCTTGCTTAAAATTCCCGTTTCATGTTTTTCAATTGGAATTAGTATATATTATCACTTATGTATTGTTTCAAGGACTTACCTAACACCACAATACACTTAGGCACTTGTCTTGTGTTCTCAATAGTAAAAAAGATTCATATAGGCTTTGTGAGGATAGTGGGTTTTTGGCATGCCGGCTACTACTCTTTAAGTATTAAGTCTTTATAGAAGTGACCCAGACATTTAAATATATAGGTACAGATTCCCTTGGCATCCTTTTACCAATCCTACATTCCTACAGGTATTCCAACACAATATCTTGTAAGAAGAATTAATGAGCTAGTCATTGCTCAAAGCTATTCAGGCTCTAAAGGCTTAGAGATAGACTTTTATGACCAATGGGAGACAACATTTGTCATATTATCCAGTCCTTATTGAAGTATTTAAGACTTTTGAAGTGTAATGAGTAATGACCACAATGTTGATATCACTCAAATTTAGTACTCCGTATTACAATTCACAAGGACACCATATTAGTGATTAATTGCAGGCTGCGAATCAAATTTTGCTCAATTTTGAGTACCCATAGGCATTTTTTTCTTTTTCTTTGGAGATGAACTCCATATTCTGTACATGCAGTATGAGTACTCATTGTTTCTGGAAATGATCAGCGAGAAGGCATTTCGGTTGCCGTTCTTGAGAGCAAGGGGAAGAAAGGATCTGTACTAGTAAATGGAATGACCATCAGAAAAAATACTTCTTGTTTTCTCAACTCAGGAGATGAGATTGTCTTTGGCTTGCTCGGATCTCATGCTTATGTATCCTTTATCATTCTTGCTAATGCAGCTGTTCATATCTTGTAACTGTTTTATATGCTATTGATTCTCATACACACACACACACACACACACACACACACACACACACACACACACAAATAAATAAATAAATAAATAAATAAATAAATAAATAAATATATATATATATAGACACACACACACAGATATATATATGTATGTATGTATGTATGTATGCCTTCTTTCACATTCATCTGGAGTATTCTTGACATCATTATATTAGATCTTTCAGAAAATTTCATTTGACCGGATACTTAAATCAGCTTCCTCCGATGTTAGACCTAGTTTTGGAAAATCACTGCATGTTGAAAGACGAGCAGGAGATGCTTCAGCTGTGGCTGGTGCTTCCATCTTGGCTTCCCTTTCATGCCTGAGACCAAACTCTTCTCATTTGAAATCTACATCTCAGGTCAGGGATAGGAACTATCCTACAGATGAGCTGCCCTCTTTCCCCATTGGACATGAAGATGAGCTTGATGGCCCTGAAGTCAATTCATCATCAAATGTTGAGGTTAATAATGATGCTGATGTTGGAGTGCATGGCAATATCCCCACTCTTGAAGGAAACTTGGACTCTGTCCAAGAGTCTGGCAATGTAGTTGTCTTGCTGAAACTTATTTTGCCCGTTTTTTTTGAATATTTTCTGTTTTTTGAAATAAAGGTAGTTCACAAGTATCTGTGTGCAGGTAGAAGAAAGAGAGTGGGTAAGAGATTCAATCCCTTTGTCCACATCAGGGATGTCGTCAAGGTGTGCAACATTTAAAGAAGACATCCAGGCAAAAATACTTGATGGGCGGGAGATGGATGTTTCATTTGATAACTTTCCGTATTACTTAAGGTAACCTTTCCATACGACTCTTGGGCCTTGGCATGTTTCCAACTTGTTTTTTAATTTTATGTTACATTGATCTTTGTGGGGATTTTGAGGTGACCCTTCTCCCCAACATGGTTGGCATCAAGTTGGTCAGATGGTGAAGGTGATGACACTAAAATATTACAGAGTATAATTTTCCATCCCTTTCATACTACACAGTGAAAGACATCAGTGCAACCATTGCACTAAAATGACTCTTAGATGCACTTAACGGCTCAAGGCATTGATCTTTAAAACATAGCTTATAAAGATGAGTATATATCCTGATTATGTTAAGCTATTTTAATGGTGAAGTAGTTAATTTTCTTCCTCATGGTGTGTTTGGTTGAACACTTCTGAAAGCGAGGGGCTCCCAATGCTTGGTTCAACAAACCTTTTTACTCGCTCTCTATAATTTTAAATTTTAAAATAAGTAATATAATTTAATTTTATTAATTTATTTCTAAAATATCGCCCCTGACTTATAACACGCTAACTTCGTTCTTAAATAAATGCAAAATCAGGGGTGTTCAGGGTTGCCAATGCACAAGTAAATCATTAATATATTCAATTGTGTTTTGGTGAATATAAAAAGATGATATTATGAAAGTTTATATCACAATGAATATAACAAGATCTGGGTCATTTCACATGACTACATTTATTTTTAAGTATAAATCACAAAAGATAATCTACTGTGAGTTTGAATAGTAGAAAAACATCTCTTTGTTGCATTTATTTAAGATCAGATAGAGTTTTTTTTGGAATTTTCTCAATTAGAAAGCAACTTAAATTAAAATAAAATTAATTATTAATTAATCCATCCCTCCCTCTTGAACCAAACAAAGTTCATCAAACACCTCCCTCTCTCCCCAAAACTAAACACACCTCTAAATAAACATTCTTTATAAAATGATAATGATATAATTTTATTAACAATTATTCTTAATTAGAGTCAAAGTGTGGGTTAAATTGTTTAGCACAAAAAGTGTGGGTTGATGATCCTAGTGTGTGATTTGGTAAAGCAAAATACTATGCTTCTTATTTTTTAGCAGTTTATTTAATGGAAACTAGATTTTTTGGAAATCGTATCTCTTTTATTTAGGAGTACTTTGATATGCAGTGACAATACAAAAAATGTGCTGATAGCAGCATCGTACATACACATGAAGCACCAAGAACTAGCTAAATTTACTTCTGAGCTCCCAACGGTGAATCCCCGCATCTGGCTGACTGGTCCTGCAGGTTTATTACTAATTTCTCAATTGTACCGTCATTCATTAAATAAATGTATTGTCTACAAACAGTTTTTTTTTCTCTTTGCTTTTGATGGTTCTGTTTTCTAATTTTAGGATCTGAGATATATCAAGAGATGCTGGCTAGAGCACTAGCTCAGTATTATGGGGCGAAACTGCTGATTTTTGATACCCATTCACATCTTCATGTACGAAACACTGCATGCATTGTAAATTTATAAGACTACAATGTATTGCATAATGAACTTTTTTTAAATGATTGGACTAAAAAATGATGTTCACTATCACTTGTCTTTGCTTTATTTATCCTATCTACTTTGTTTTTATCAGAAATTGCCCGTCTCTGATTGATTATTGTCTCTGTTGCAGGGCTTGTCTGCAAAGACGAGATATAGTGTGCAGAAAATTGCCAATGGTAGTGATGAATTCTCTAAAGAACTCGAATGGGTTAAGGTATCAGAGCATTCATCTGGTAAAGCAGTTATGCATAGTTCAAATACCCATTTAGGCTCGGGGTTGCATTCCAAGGCAGAAGATGTCAATTCACTTTTGTTAGCAGGGACATCAAAAAATTCCACGTTCAGAGCAGGTATGTTGCTTCATTTTATGTTGTAGAGGAAATATTAATAAGAAAATATACAAAACAACATCCTCGTATAATTCCATGGAGTATGGTCAGAGGAGGGTAAGTGTACTTAGACCTTTCCTCTACTTGAAAAGTAGAGATGCTATATTCAAGAGACCCCCGACTCAAAACAAAAGGAACATTGAAAAGTGAAAAAGGGAAAAAGGAAAGGCAAAGTTGCACGAAAGAAGTAGACATATATGCACATACATGCAGAATCAACAAATTACGACAACACACAACAGATCCTACAAAAGGGTATAACCTTGCCCAACAGACTATCCAATCACCCTAGTCTTAGACTTCTAAACACTTCTATCTAAGGTCATATCCTTGGTGAGATCCAAAAATGAAAATCATGTCTAATAACCTCTTTCCAACTTTTCTCAGTTCAACCTCTATCCCTCTTAAAATCTTCTATCTCAAGCCTTTTGCACCTTTGCACCAGAGCCGTACTTCTTTTCTTAGTATATGCCTAAACCATCTCAGTCTAACTTCTGGCAACTTATTTTCCACATTGCCCATTCCCACCCTCTCCCGAATAGCTTTGTTTGAGACCTTCACCCTCGTAAGACCTTACATCCATCTCAACATTTGCATATTTGCTACATAGAGCTTCAAAACGTGAGTGCTCCTCACTGCTTAACTCTGAGTTCCATAACAACATTTCACTATTGTCTTGTAGAACTTTCCTTTAAGCTTTGTTGAAATCTTTTTGTCACATAGGACATCTGACTTTAGACAAGTTCTCTACTTTCAAGTCATGCTTTATGCTCTCTGTGTTACTCAAGCTGGGGGTTTCTTGGAAACAAGTTCTCTACTTTCAAGTAGTGGTAAGGTCTGCACACACCCCCACCCGAGACCCTACTTTCTAAGGGATTCTATTGGGTTTTTGTATCTTAGCCGTCTTGAAAATAACATTAAACCACTTTTTTTATCCACACCAATCCATCTCTGCCCACAATCATCCAGAACTCTACCCGTATCTCATCCGGTCCCAAAGCTCTCTCCTTTTCATCTTGCCAATAGCTTTCACGACCTCTGCATGTTTATTGTCTTGACAATACCTAATATCTTGATGACTTTCAGACTGCCATCTCCTCTTTACAAGGCTATGAAAGTAATAAGACTTTAAAGTCCAAACTCTGTGGCATCCATGACCCATCAAAACCTTGCCTCTTCGCCTTTAACACACTTCATTTGGTCCATATATTGCACCTTCCTCTCTCCCGACCCTCTTTTCAGTCTCGATATAGACATTCAAAAGACATTCTTAGCTGCCCAAACTGCCACCTTAACTTTTGAGCAGTCTTATACTCTTGGATTGGCCTCCTATCCTCTTCATCACTACTCTCCTTGAGCCTCTTATAGGCTGTTTTCTTGATCTCAACCTTTTGAACTTTATTCCACCACTAGTAACTCCTAACACCTCCCCCTAATATTTGAGGTATTCCTAAGTTTGTACACCTTCCATCCCAAATAGACTTTTATATGATATGACTTTTCACGCCTTCCAATGCATCACTATGACCATTAGACATTAGTATTTGATGTTGTTTACATAAAAGATATTATTAAAATATGATATTTCAGTGTTCAAAACTTCATTTCAAAATAAACCTAATGATATAAAGTTGACAAGAATAACAACAGCCCAGTTGGATCCCATGAGAGTAGGGTCTGGGGAGGGTGTGTGTATAGAGACCTTGCCCTTACTCGAAAGTAGGGAGGCTGTTTTCAAGAGACCCCAACTCAAGTAGCACAAAGAATATAAGAGTACAGAAGACACATAAAAGAAAAGAAAGCACATAGCATACAAAGGACGCAAACACAACAAAGCATACAAAGCACACAACAGATGTGGGACCAATCCCCTAGTCCAAAGTGCCTACCCAACTACCTTAATTCTAGCTTTCGAAATGCTCCTATGTAAGGGCATATCAACAGTTGGGAAAAAAATTCCTACATGCTGTCTAATCACCTTCCCGCAATACTTCTTAGGTCTACCCCTACCTCTACTCCCACCCTCCAACGTAAGCCCCTTGCATCTCTGCATTGGGGTGTCAGTACTCTGCCGACTCACATGTCCAAACCACCTTGGCCTAGCTTCCCACCAACTTAATGATATTAAGTTGACATTGTAGCCTAATGCATCTTTTTTCTATAATATTGTCAACTTTTACATACATTGACCAATAAAATTCAAATGTTATGTTCTTTTTAATACAGAGGAACTATTAGTTTCTTGCTCTTATTTTACATTGTTGTCTAAATTTTCAGGTGACAAAGTTAAGTTCATTGGTTCTGCTGGTGGATCATATTCAGCCTCATCTTCTAAAAGGTATGTTTCCCATAATGAACTTTTGCTGTCAATCTCTCTTGTTTCCATTTTTGTTGAGGTTTCTTTGGATACAATTTGTGATATAAAATTTTGCAGAAACTTTCAACGATTAATAATACATTGAAAATGATCTTTGATGACATTTTTGCAATAAATTGCTGCTGAGTACGCTAGGTTTTGTGGTAAGAACTACCAGGTCCTAGTATTTTTCAAAATATACTCTCAGGGTACCTAAATTATCAAATAAATGTCCAATGAGGGACATTCCATCCAAAACCCGTTAGGTATATCGAAATGTCTGACCTGCCCCTCTCTATTTCCCAATAAAGCCCTTTTTTCACGTTTGTGTTGACTGCATCTTCTCCAAAGTGTAATGCTGTGTTTCCCCATTTGGTTCACGGTCGTTTGCCTTCTTCGCGGTCATTTGCCTTCTTCAAGCACACACAATGGTATGAGTTCACTTTCCCTCAATTCCTTCCAACTATGTTCTTCTTCGCGGCCGTTCGCATCTAAAGAGCATTATTCTAGGGTTTTTATTAAAGAGAGTGACTGTAGCTGGTTTTTCTGTTGTGATTATGTTGTTTTTAATTTTATGTTTCTCGTTGTGTCATTCTTTAGGCTCCTACATGTTTTCAAGTGTATGTGAAAGATAAATACTTTAGGAGTTTGATGCTTAGTATAGCACAAACAAATATTGTATGGTTTATGTTATCAACCAACATTACTGGTACTTAAAAAGTGTTGTAAACTGCTTTTGGATTTCGTTGCTTGGTACAACACAAACATAATATGTATGGTTTTTGACATCAATCAATATTGATGGTTTTTGGAGGTAAATTTCTTGTGCCTTAATGGCTTTGTTTGAAAAGATACCTAAGCGTGACGTAATTTTGTATTGTTCATTGATAGGCTGTTTGATAGAATGCTAACTGAAGGGTCTGGTTTTCATGCTTTTTAAGGCCTGGTTTTTGCATGTTTTTTGGGGGCTCGTTTCTTCATGTTTTTTGAAGGCTGGTTTCTGCATGTTGTAGGGGCTGGTTTCTGCATTTTTGGGGGCTAGTTTCTGCATGTTTTTGGGGCTAGTTTCTTCATGATTTTAGGGGACTGGTTTCTGCATGTTTTAGGGGCTGGTTTCTGCATTTCTGGGGGCTGGTTTTTTCATTTTTTGGGGGCTGGTTTTTTCATTTTTTGGGGGCTGGTTTCTTCATGTTTTTTGGGGGCTGGTTTCTGCATTCTTTGAAGCTGGTTTCTACATGTTTTAGGGGCTGATTTCTGCATTTTGGGGGATGGTTTTCAATTTTTCAAAGCTGATTTTCATGTTTCAACTGAAACCAAAACAAGCATGAAGCAAGGCTGGGTTTTTGGGGACTGATTTCCTTTTCTTCAAACTTGGTTTTCCATGTTTCAACTGAAACCAAAACAAGCATGAAGCAAGAATGGGTTTTGGGGTCTGCCTTTCATTTTTTCAAGCATGGTTTTCTAAGTTTCAATTGTTTTCATGTATCAAATGAAACAAACACAATCAATGATACATAACAAGGGGATTTATTAAAGTTAAACTAAGTACTCATTGAAATTATCACAGGTACATCATACATCATAAAATAATGACAAACAACTAGACAACAAACCACATACACTTGATACATGCATTTTGGCTTACATAAGCAACACATATATTGCAATGTGAAGCACAAATCCTAAATCCAGACCATAGAAAAAGGGTGCAACTCTCTTCCTTTGCGACTCCTTCATGAGCATGGTTAAGCATGTGATCTATTCGTCTTTTTCATTGATATTATCTAAGAACCCGGGAATGATCTTCTTGGAACTATTGCATAGCTGATAGCTCAGGCTCTGCCCATTGCCAGTTATCACATTTGTGTATAGCCTATTCAATAAGAACTCACATTACCAACATGTTCAAACAAACTACACGGCATGATAAAAATAACAAAACAAGTACAGCAACTTTCCCAACACACACCCAAAATCTTCTTTCAGGATTTTTTAGTCCAAAAAGTTAAAATCACTATCGCTTTGCCACACTTGCACGTAGGAATCTCTAACCAATCTCCATGATCAAGAATTCTTCTTAAGGTGAAAGAGTGATGACTGCCACTAGCCCACTACTACAGAAACAAAAAAAAATCATATGTGAATGAATTGCTCGTCATCTTTAATTTGTGAACTAACATACCTGTTTTGAGTCATTACTAAAGAAGAGAGATGTTTAGTTCAATTCTTGCGCCCTAACAGCTGTGTGAAAAACCAATCGGGGAAAAGCAAAATCTCATAATTTTACCTCAAACCACAAACACAAAGACCAAGAACATGGAGGAGTAGGTTTAATTACCTACACAAGACCAAGAAGTGGAGTAGTTTCACTTACCTACGCAAGACCAAGAAGATGGAGGAGTAGATCAACGACAAAATCGACTCCGAGTTGTTCAAAATCTACGGAAGACCTAGAAGCCACGAAGAGTAGAAGAATGAAGGGCTAAAGAGGGAATTTCACTGGATTTTTTGATTAAAATGAATGGAGCTCGTATGCTTAACGGTACTTTGGATGGAATGTCCCTCCTTGGACATTTATTTGATAATTTAGGTACCCGGAGAATATATTTTGAAAAATACTAGGACCTGGTAGTTCTTACCACAAAACCTAGGGTACCCGGCAACAATTTTCTGACAATTTTGAGTTATAAATAAGGCTCTGTGCTTCTGTTTGCTCCACACAAGTATGGGTATTGAAAATGGGTTAATGGAATCTTAAACTCCTGTTTGCTCCACAGAAGTATGGGTATTGAAAAAGGGGTTAATAGAATCCCAAACTCGCACATATTGCTTGGTTACTAAACAATTCTCCATAGCCCATTACTGAAACCCATACTCTTAAAATCCCAACACCCTTCAATTTGGAAACAGAGCAGTATCACCTTATTACTCAAGACTGCTGCTGTGTTATTGCATCTGGGTGGAAGGGAAAACAAGGGCCGAAGGGTTTCTGTCCTCCTCACACACAGCAGCAAGCCAACACCTACGTTGCTGCTTCCATTTGCGAGCAAATGAGACAAATGAACTTGCCATGTTAGAAGAGATTCGTCATGTTTGATTGATGTAAGAGCTTATCATTTGTAGCATCAATGGAGATATGTAATATGAAAGGTGTTAGCTTGGCAAGAGGTGACAAAGTATCATAAGAGTTCCATAGGTCTTGGGATAGCCTTGCCAACAAATGAAAGCTTTCAATCGAGCAACAAACTCATCTGGATTTACTTTTGGCTTACACCTGATATTTTTGTTCCTTGCGGCCCAATGGAGTGATTTATGAATCATTTTCAGTGTAATGCAATCCTGCACCACTGCCAAAACGATAAATTGGTAAAAATAAGGTTACACAACAATTTTAAAAATGTGCAAGTTTACTAATTGAGACAAAGTTAAACAAGCTGCCCTCACCATTTAGGACATAATCAAGAAGTAAAGTGGGTAAGGAACTAAAGATTTAACTTGGCCTGCCTTGCTGCTGGGGCCTTTTAACTTGTTGGCTACTGTGCCCATGTGCAAAGTGTTGGATGAAGACATTTTAGTGAATAGTTGTGGATTGCCAGTGATATGATCGAAAACATCTTAGTCGAGTCTCCATGGGTTAGATGAACTAGTGTTAGAGACTTAGGGAACGAATGAAGTATTGATGTCAAAAACATCTTTGTCAAGTATCCATGGGTTATATAATTTAGTGTTACAAGATTGATGTAACCAGGGTATGACAAAGGATTGTGTTCATTATGGTCAGTGCTAAAAATTTTTCTAGGCACTAGTCGGATGCCAATCCAGTGCCTAGTGCTTATGATGCCAAGGCAGGGCCTAGGCCTATGTGTACTTGTAGTCCACATTGTTTTCTTGCTCATGTATTTGCAGAAATATAATATTTATGTTTGTTTTGCATATGTTTTGTAATTGCACACTTAATACTTACATATACATAATCCATTGTTTGTCTACTTTCCAGAGGGCCAACAATTGGGAGTAAGGGGAAGATTGTGTTGCATTTTGCAAACAATCCATTGTCAAAAATTGGGGTTAGATTTGAAAAACCCATACCAGATGGGGTCGACTTTGGGGGTATTTGCGATGGCTTCCATGGTTTCTTTTGCAAGGGTAATGCCTAAAGCATTTCTTAAAATCTTGTTTAAATTACTAGTATGTATGCTAGATGTTATATTGAACTTAGGCTTATCTTTCCATGTGCTCTGCTTTGCAAGTTAACTCCTATTCCCAAGTTTGTAACAATACTTCATGCTGTCTCAGCCAACGAATTGCGTTTAGAAGCCACGCGTGCCGAAGATCTGGACAAGTCCCTCATCGACACACTATTTGAGGTGTGCCTTCATTTTCTATGAATAATGAAACATTTTGAGTTGACATTTTGTTTTGCATGTTTTTGTGTTGAAATATGATTAATTATGATTTAGTATCATAAACATAAACAGAAGCACATTCTTTACTCTTTAGATTATTTCTACAATTTATTGAAAATTTTGTTAGGTTGACCCTACTTTTGATTAAGTCATTTCAACACATTCAATTTTCAACATGTTCCCCTTTCAGAAAAAAGGTTCCAAACATGTCCTTTGTGAAATGATGGACAAAAATATTATCCGGCAGTCAATCTCAGTTCTTTTCTCTTTCTTCTATTTAACAGAATGTGAATGTAAAATGTGAAACTGTTAGGATATAAATAACTGTTCTTGGGCCACAACCACAAGCTTGAGATTTTAGTTGAGTTGGTTCCTTGACATGGTATCAGAGCCTTGTTGACTAAGGGGTCACGGGTTCGAAACTCAGCGCCACCCAGTTTAAAAAAAAGTTAAGGTTTCACGTGCAAGGCTCGAAAAAGACTATGCCTGCATGTGAGGGGGCGTGTTAGAATATAAATAACTATTCTTGGGTCACAGCCACAAGCTTGAGCTTTTGGTTGAGTTGGTTCCTTGACAGAAACGAAAAACGACAGTGTTTTCCATTTCCATCTTAAATTTGCATAAGGTTTACTTTTAAAAATTGAGTTCATTTTTTCCTTTGCAGCATTTTAACTGTCTTTACAAATTTTATTCTATCATACAGGTTGTATTTGATGAGAGCAGAAATTTCCCTTTTATTTTGTTCTTGAAAGATGCTGAAAACTCTATGGCAGGGCATTCCGGCTTTTCAACATTTAAAAGCAGGATGGAGAAGCTTCCTGATAATGTTATAGTTATAGGTTCACATGTCCATACTGACACCCGGAAAGAAAAGGTAAGCTTTACCTTGAGGCCATATAGAATTATGACTTGTGGGATGCGAAGAAAATCATTTATGTTTGTAATCTTTGTGTTAAAGCTTCTAGTTTCTACTTTTTTATAGACAAGGCTTCTAAAATACGGAGTATTAGCTTAAAGGCTGCAAAAAGTGCCACTGAATATACACTGCCTAGAAAAATAAAAAATCTAAAATAGTTTCTAGTTAAAAAACATGAAAGTGAAAAAACGAAAAGATAACTATGGTGTGACATAAAGGATTGCAGCCACTTTAATCATGGCTAGTTGAAACCATGATGTCTAAGTTTTTACTTTGAATAACAGTATAACACATTTCCTTTCTGCACTACAGTCACATGCTGGTGGACTGCTTTTCACAAAACTTGGTGGCAATCAAACTGCTTTGCTTGATTTGGCTTTCCCGGTACCCTCTCTATCTTTCTAAGCAGTTGAACAATAATGGCAATATTAGTCTTCTTGCATGATTGTCAAACTTCAATGGCTTCAGGATAGTCTTGGGAGGTTAAATGACAGGGGGAAGGAAGTTACCAAGACAACCAAACTTTTCACAAAACTTTTTCCGAATAAAGTTTCAATTTACATGCCTCAGGTTTTTTCCGAACTTTTAAATATAACTTTCCTCTTTTCCATTTTTCCCTATTTTCTGATATGCATCATGATTGCAGGATGAAGCATTACAAGCTGGTTGGAAACAACAATTGGATCGAGATGCTGAAACTATGAAAACAAAAGGAAATTTGAATAGTTTAAGAACTGTGAGTATACTTCATTGAGCTTCACATTTATTTTTCTTACTAATTTAATTTCCAAGAGTTTAGAATTACTATGCACCCCCTTTATAACTTCTTGTAATGAGTTATGACTGCTAGAGGAGGTGAATGGTCATTCATTACAATTCAAAGTTGTAGCATTTATGCTGACATGGCTTCAATCTCCTGTTCAGTACTTGATTCTAGGGGACAGTGCTTATTCTGCTTCACTGAAATGTACACTTGTTTAAGCATCGAAGCATGTATAAACTTTGGTTGATTTTTTTACTCTATGTTTAACTGCTGGAAGCAGCCTCTCTACTTTTAGTAGGGGTAAGGTCTGTACACACCCCCAGACCCTGCTTTTGTGGGATTATACTGGGTTGTTGTTTAACTGCTGGAAGTGTAAAATTTCAGTTCAATATTAATGTAGTAGAGTTGTGTAGTGTAGTGTTCTTTCAACTGAAGATTTAGGATAGTTGAAGCATTGAATTTTATAGTTTGATGTATAATGCTCCATATGTGCTAAATGATAATTTCTATCATAAGTATAGGTTCTGAGCCGAAATGGATTAGAATGTGATGGACTGGAGCGATTGTGCATCAAGGACCCCCATTTTTCAATTGAGAGTAAACACACATTTTTCATTTCTTATACTTTTTTCTAATCACATGCTGGCTCACTTACTGTTAACTTCAATGTAATAGTAGTTTGGTGCATTTGAAGGTGCGGAGAAGGTTGTTGGATGGGCATTGAGCCATCATTTAATGCAAAACCCTCAAGAAGATTCTGATGCAATGACTGCTATGTCTTCTGAGAGGTAACATACTTAGCAACAAGCCCCCTCCCTTGTTGGTTTTGTTATTGTGTTTAAAGAATGCCTTGTGTTGTGTAACAGCATTCAATATGGTGTTGACATTTTGCAAGACACACAAAATGAGTCCAAAAGCCTGAAGAAGTCACTTAAGGTGTTTTAAGCACTATTTGATATGTTTGAACTTTGAAGATTGCATCCATCCTTGATATTCGCAGACTCGAATATATTCTCCTTCTTTTAAGAACTCAACCTTTTTTGAACTGTTCCAGGATGTTGTGACCGAGAATGATTTTGAGAAGAGACTCCTAGCAGATGTCATCCCTTCGGTTGATATTGGAGTCACATTTGATGATATTGGTGCACTGGAAAACATCAAAGATACTCTGAAAGAGTTGGTGATGCTTCCTTTGCAGAGGCCAGAGCTTTTCTCCAAGGGGCAGTTAACCAAGGTTTCATACTTATAATTTTGTTCCAGACACATCAATTTTAACTATTCCAAGAAAAAGAAAACGTTATTTACCTGTAAATGAAAAGAGCAGAAAATACTATGATCCCGGATGATAAAATTTTATATGATGTGATCTATTGTGTAGCTAATAAAACAATGAACGATCAGGTAAACTCTACGCAGGTTTATATGAGTGGTCTTGGATTTAATTGTAGACCCATATAGATATATTTGTATTGAAATGTCTACCTTTTAGTTCTGGCTAACAAAATTTGATAAACTGCTTCACTTGCACTTATTATGTGGCATAGGCAACTAGGTTTTTTTCTTTTTATTGTTGCAATTTCAAGCCCTTTAAGATGGTGCTACTTGTTCTTTATTAATTCTGAATTTTTCTGTGATTGTTTATGCATCATTACTTTTGCAACCACACTTCCTGTTATTTTTTTATTAAAATTATTTATTTTTCTTTTTGCAGCCTTGTAAGGGAATACTTCTATTTGGCCCTCCTGGCACTGGGAAAACAATGCTTGCTAAGGCTGTTGCCACAGAAGCTGGTGCAAACTTCATCAACATCTCCATGTCAAGCATCGCCTCAAAGGTTTGCGTGTCATAGTTTTTTATGAAAAACATTTGCACATATTATGATTTCATTACAAACCTTTTTGGTGAAATGGGAAACTATTAGCCATACTTTGATGCATTATACTAAATAATCCCTACAGGAGAAATGCACTACAATCATCCCAACTTGTCAATATCTTCACAAAAATAGTTTCTGGCTTGACCGCATTAAGGTTCCATTATGTGATTGTTTCTGCAAAACCATTAACAAGTTTGGATTATATTTGTAAAGCTCTCCAAAATGGGGATTATTTTTGTCCAAGGATTTGAAAAGATGTAATATAAGCTTGAAATAATGTTGATAACTAGTTTGTACTCCATTAGTAAATTTAAGTGATGTGAGAGTTAATGATTCTTTAGTAATATTGAATTTAGCATTAGTAATAAAATTTACATGTTTATAAAAAATAAAAGCTTTGTTAAACCAGAAGAATTGAATATTTTCTCAATTTGGATACCTTATGCTTATTCATAAACTCTTCCAATCTATATATTCTCAGAGAATTTTCCTTGATATTGCTGATTTTTGTATGATTCTTTTGTGAAAGAACAATTGTTGGATGTTTCTACGTTCTTTGGATGTTTATTGTTTCAATTTTTTTGAAGAATATTTGATATCACTCACAAACAAATTACAACTTTAAGGATATGATTCAGTATGAAATTTGGTTTGTTTTGGAAAGTAAGTTTGAGAAGTTAGTGGGTGCTAAACACTCCCATGCCTTTTTGCTTCTTCTGAAAATGCAAAAGAAAGAAAAGAAAAACCAATGGGAATCTATTAAGCTATTGCCATGTTGGGATTACTGTTCATGTATCCCATGGGGATTATTTGTGTAAAACACATCAAAGTAGGGATTGTTGTCAGTTTTAACTTTTTATTTTCAATTCCATTAAATTCCTAATAGGTTTGCTTTATTTCATCATCATCATCATCATCAGTAGTTGTAGTAATATTTATATTTATTTTGTGTGTTGCAGTGGTTTGGGGAGGGTGAGAAATATGTCAAGGCTGTCTTCTCGCTGGCTAGTAAAATTGCACCTAGTGTAATCTTTGTCGATGAAGTATGCCTCTGATGCCTATTGAACCGCTACAGATTACTCTCTTTTTGGATTTTCTTTCCCATCCTGACTCTTTCCTTTTCTTGGTTTTTTTTTAAAATAATGGTTGACCTAAGGTTGATAGCATGCTGGGCCGTAGGGAAAATCCTGGAGAACACGAGGCCATGCGCAAAATGAAAAATGAGTTTATGATGAATTGGGATGGATTGCGAACAAAAGATACAGAACGTGTTCTTGTCCTTGCAGCTACAAATAGGCCGTATGATCTTGATGAAGCAGTTATTAGGCGGATGCCACGTAGGTAAGGAAACAAGCGAATGAGCAAGTTGTATTTGGAGCTGAAAACTTTGAATTTTGATTTTAAAAAAATAACTGGTTCTTTCTCAGATTGATGGTCGGTTTGCCAGATGCCCCTAACAGAGAAAAGATTCTAAAAGTGATACTGGCAAAAGAAGACTTGTCACCAGATGTTGATTTGGACTCCGTTGCTAGTATGACCAATGGATATTCAGGAAGTGACCTTAAGGTAAAATCTGGTTTTATTTTTATTATGAAAAAGGAACCTTTCCCATGGAGTCTAATATGTCTTGTGACGGACACCTCTGATTGCAGAATTTATGTGTGGCAGCTGCATATCGTCCAATCCGAGAGATTTTAGAAAAAGAGAAGAAAGTATGTTGTCTCATTATATCGCTTTGCTACAATTTCTCGTTCTCTTATCTCATTTTCAAAAACTTTATTTTTTTCGAGGACAAAAATTGAAAGTATGCTTTCTCATTATATCACTTTGCTACAATTTCTCGTTCTCTTATCTCATTTTCAAAAAGTTTATTTTAATCAAGGGCGAAAATTGAAAGTATGCTGTCTCATTTTATCACTTTGCTACAATTTCTCATTCTCTTATCTCATTTTAAAAAGTTTATTTTTTTCAAGGACGAAAATTGAAAGTACTCATTATATCACTTTGCTACAATTTCCCGTTCTCTTGTCTCATTTTAAAAAAGGTTTCTTTAGCGTTTCGAAAATGATGTACAACCGCAGCGTTTAACTTTAGTGTTTTCAAAGTTCACCGGCACCATTAAATTTTTTATCTAAAATGCTAACCACAAACATTGGTCCAAAATGAAGCCTAAAATGCTTTTTTCCATTGCAGGAGCAAGCTGCTGCCTCAATGGAAGGTAACCCTCCACCATCTCTGTGCAGTAGTGCAGACATTCGACCATTGAACATGGACGACTTCAGACATGCTCATGAACAAGTAAGGGAAAGTTTTGCCCTTCCATTGGTTATCGATCATAGTTCTTTTCCCCCTTAAAAATGACACTATTGCCCTTTGCGGGTGAGTTGGTGTGTAGGTTTGCGCAAGTGTGATGTCAGAGTCCGCAAACATGACAGAGCTCGTTCAGTGGAACGAGCTCTATGGCGAAGGAGGCTCAAGACGGAAGAAGTCTTTGAGCTATTTCATGTGAGGTTACCGATCGGCCTGCTTGACTGTCCTCTTTTGCTATATGAGTATGAGGTTAGCTTGTTTGTAAAATGGGTTTTATAGGATGTAATTTAGTTTTTTTTTTCTAAAAAATATTCATCTGGTTTTTTTTGAATATTTGTACATGTGGGTGAGGAGTACCCTTATTAGGCGTTGAGTATTTTTTTAACCCATCTGACTTTTTTTATTTTATTTTTAAATGTCTTAGAAGAAAAGGGATTACCCAATTTTTTTCTCTGTATCATTGTACTAATAATATACTTGTGAGAATTTATTCCTTTGATAAATGATTCTTCTGATAAACTGTGAATACCAGTGTTTGTTGTACCATTTCATGCTTGGAAATCCAAAGTGAGTTTGCCAGATTCTGACATTGTATGAAATTTCAATCAGACTTCATATGTTGATTATATATATGCACAAAATTGATACTCTTTCCGTACCAAAATTGATAACAATTTTTTTGCAACATCTCTCGATAATTTTTGTTTGCTATCTTTTTTCTAATTTTTTGATAAAACAAAACATCAATGCCACTTTTTATTTTGTAAAATTTTTGATGTAGTTTTTAATATGTAAATTTATTAATTTATCTTATATAATTTTTTAAATAAGTTGATTTTTAAAAATGCGGGATTAACTTCCTAAATGAGAATTTGTAATTTAATTTGGAACGGAGATAGTGTAATAATGATAAATTAGAAAATTAAATAGTTTAAAATAAATTTAAAATGATAATTTAAACTATAAATAGTAAGTTAAGCTTGTGATTATTCTCTTTGTGAACCTAGCATTGTTCTTATTTAATTTACATTATGATTTTTGGAAGTAAATTTTATATGCACCTAGGGTGCAGAGAATTCTTAAACCTTAATTTATGTGCTTTTAATTACACATAAACTAAGGGAAATAAATTTGGAAATGTGAGTATTATACTCACTCTTTTACTGTTTTACTTTTTGGATAATGCCTCGAGGCTACTATTTTTGTTGGCAAAGTGATAATCTCACTCTGTTTTTTTACGGAGTACTTTCTCTATCTTAATTTAAATTATTTTTTTAGCTCATGATGTTTTACTGAAATTATTTCCAATGGAGTAATTTACTTAAGCATTGGAACATAATTAAAAACAAAATAAAATTTACATATTAAAAAATTATATCAAAAGCTTTATAAAATAAGATGTGACATGATTATATTATTTTATCAAATTATTTTATCGACTTCGAGTGTTACCCCTTTTTTAATTTTATTCATTTGCTTGTGTGAGGTCTATAATGCATCTTAATTAGCTGCATGATAAAAGTAATCACCACTCCGTTAATCACCATACTATCATCCACTAGCGAACAACAACCCATTAGAATTCTACAAAATATAATTAGAGAGTACCTAGTGGGATTCAACTGGATTGTTGTTGTTGTTGTTACTCAAACACTTTTGTTCAAATGTGCTACTTGATATCAAATTCTTCTTTTATGTTCTCTTATTAAATTAAAAATACTATGAAGATGGTGTAACTCGTCAGATTCTTATTACACGTGATATATTCAATATGATGGATTAGGGATTTTTCCTAATCCAATATTATTTGAACAGTGCAAGAAAGCCTAATTTTATCTGGCCAAAGATATAAGTCAGATAAATTATTCAAGACAGAATCAGAGATATATGGACAGAAGAATATATTTGAACTGATGTGGAGACATTTGGCGGGACCCGTTGAACACTACCACATGGAAACCACATGCCGCACATGGGCTTCACATGGACAATGTCCCCTCTTGTCTCCATCAATTATTTCCTTCTCCTCTTTAAATGCAGGCTACAAAGGAGGGAGGAGAGAGTGCCAAATACTCAACAAGTCCCTACTATTATTCTTCATTCTTCTCCTTCTCTTAGCATGGAGCTCTATTAATAGCTCCAAGCTCCTACAGTGATGCATATGTAAATTCCCCCGAGATTAATATAAGTTTCTCTCTTTTGGCATGGCACCGCCTAAAAAGGCCCGTGGTTTCTCCCGATTTGGGTTTCCACGTATAAATACTTTCTCTCTCTTTATTTATTTATTTATTTATTTATTTTCCGGATTTCGCTATTCGGTGCGGTGTCGACCCGGTACCGATTTCAACGGGTCGACGCCCCGAAAAAGCGGTTTCCAGCACAATATATACGGTTTTTTTACATTAGATTTCTACGGAGTATATTATATTATGACATTTGGTCCATCTGAGTCTATAGAGTGCTCCATTTGATCTCTTGATGATTCCTACCTCTTGAACCCCACCTCTTAGCTTCTCTATTGCACTCCACCCATTCTATGTGCTTTAGTCCACGTTCGAAGAAAAGTTATGAACGTCAAAAGAGGGGCGCTAGGGGAACCTCGGTTTGTGTGCACCAAGGCAAAAATAGACACACGAAGATACTCAAGATTTGTACGTGCACAAAAATGAAATGTCTCGATTTTTGTCTTGGTGTACGCTTTGTATACACCGAGTGGGGTTCTCCAAATATTTTTCATGTAAAAAGCAACCACACCCCTATTCAATCAACATACAATGCACCAAAAAAGGGTATTGAGTGAGAGGAAACCTACTCCGGGCTTGACGGATGGCCGAATTTGGGGCAAAAGATTTTATTTAAGCAGCACCAATAATAATACTACTCTAAAGACAAGACAATCTTCTTATTAACTTATCATCAATTGACATAAATTAAGTTTCTTTAAAAAATTTGACCACAAAATAAATTAAAATCGGATGATTCAATCTAAGGAGTGGGGGTAGTTAGTTCGGGTTGGAACCGCTAGTTTTTCAAAAGAGACACCTACGGTGCGGTGCCCCAATTAGACCCAATGGCATATTACGACATGGGCTCTCAATGTCAAAAGAAGGGAACTCATTTTTTTACACGAAAAAAGGGTTAACATCCAAAATTTCTAGCAAGTACATAAGGTACACATATAAATAGAGTGTTTCTCTATGCGTGTGCTTATTATTTAAAGTTAAGCGTTCTTTCGTGGAAGTAAAATGACATAAATGCAAGATAAGTTATTTGAGAATATTCATAAGTACTCCGTAAAAGATAATTTTGTAAATAATCTGGTCAAAACAGATAAATGAAAAAACCAACTTAAAAATAAATAGATAAAACCTACTTATTTTTTCTAGCTTATAAGCAACTTATGAGTCAATTTTTAAGTACATAGAAACATGACATCAGTTGACTTATAAATTAAAAAATAATTTATAAACAAATTTGACCAGTTTATAAGATTAGAGAAACACCACTAAGGCCATGTTCTCCTCAACCTTTTTTTACTTATTACTTATTCTTATTGAAATCAGATCAGAACATATTCCAATCAGATCAAAATCAATCAAATCAGGTGAAGAGAAGATGACCTAAATTTTAATAGAAAAAGAAATGTGGAACAAGAGCACAAGCTAATAATTGAGCTGATGAGATTCATAGAATCTAACCCCCAATGCGATTATTTTAGGAACACAAACACTAACTGAACAAAATCCTTCTTCTTCATTTTTGTTTTGTTTTGTTTTGTTTTCATACAGCGCTTGGCACAGGATGCACATAACACTAGAAGAGAAACTCCATTGTTGTTTGGGATCAGATCAGAGGGACTGTTTGGAAATGTCTACTCCATCGCCCCGCCAATCATCATCATCATCATCTGGGAATGAAGAAGGAAAAGAAGAGACTCTTACCTGCAGAACATAGTTCCAAAGAGTCAATGAATTATTGTTAGGAATGGGAAAATAGGAATGTTAATATGTTTTGTAATTTGTTTCCTTTGTGTAATTATTCCTTTTTTCTTGTATAGTTCGTTTCCTAGTTGGAATTGGGTTCCTACATATACAGCTTTGTACATCTCTTATGATTCATTCACAAATACATCTCTTATGATTCATTCATCTAGTTGGAATTGGGTTCCTCTATCTCTGTCTGTTTTTTTTTATTTTGTCGGTCACTCTAGCTTTCAGGCGACCAGGTTTTTACCCTCACTGGGTTTTTACCGTCACCATGGAAGAATTACCGGAGAAGAGAAAGTGGAGAACATCGATGGTCCAGCTACATCCAGCGCCCTGCAGCCACCACAGGTTCACTCTCCGGAGCATGTCGTGAGGGAGACAGTTGGTGATGTTCCTCCCCAACATGACGAAACGGAGCCGTCTACGCCGACAGTAGCCCCAGCGACTTCGGTGGAACCTCTTGTTGTTGATGCCAAGCCTCAGCTCGGACAGGGACAACATGCTCGTGCTCCTAATGTTCGCCTGTCCGACTGTGTTACATATGCTAAGTGCTCCGAAGGAGGGCTGTAGGTATCCTCTCACCAGACATATTTCTTATGACATGTTTACAACCTCGCATAAATGTCATTTGTCGAGTTTTGATATGTAAAGTTGAGCCCGGAAACTTTCATCAAGCTATGCGATCTGAACATTGGTGTAGAGCAATGCAGGAGGAAATTGATGCCTTGGAAGCAGTGGTACGTGGACCATTGTCCTTACTCCTGTGCATAAGAAACCCCTCAGAAGCATGTGGGTTTACAAGATCAAGCGAAAGTCAGATGGAACCATTGAGCATCACAGAGCACGTCATGTCATTTTTGGATTGGATTATAATAAAACTTTTGCTCTTGTTGTCAAGTTCAAAATTGTTCGTACGTTGCTCGCTGTTACTGCTGCATTATCATGGGAATTGCATCAGATGGATGTGCACAATGTCTTTTTACATGGTGACCTCGAAGAGAACGTCTACATTTGTCTACATGCACTTGCCACCTGGCTTCGCGTCATCCACACATAGTCAGGTATGCAAGCTAAAGAAATCTCTGTATGGTCTAAAACAGGCACCCCGTTGTTGGTTTGCTAATTTGTCCCGAGCTTTGAAGCAGTATGGGTTTGTGCAATTTGTCTTCGACTACTCTCTTTTTTCGTTCCATGGCATGGAGGGTCATCCATGTCCTTGTGTATGTGGATAATTTGATTATTGCAAGGAACAATTAAGATTTGATGCAAAAATTTAAAAATTATTTATCTAAAATTCCACATGAAGGACCTTGGTTTCTTGAAATATGTTTTGGGTATTGAGTTTGTTCAAAGATACTCAGGAATTTCTCTATGTCAAAGGAAACATGCTCTGGATATTATAAGAGACAGAATTTTATGGTTTGCGGCCTCTTAGAGCTCCTATGGAGGGGAATCATCGTTTGGCTCTTTCTGAGAGTCCTCTACTTCTTGATCCTAATAACTACTTCCTGATCCTAATAAGTGTAGAAGCCTTGTGAGACACTTAGTTATTCGTCTGTTACTTGCCCTGAATTGGCCTATGCCGTTCATACTTTGGCACAGTTTCTCAATGAGCCACGTGAAGATCATTGGCATTCGGCGCTATGTGTAGTGACGTATCTACAGGGGTGTCCTGGGAAAGGAATACTTTTATCTGCTACGAACAGTTTACACTTGACTGGATGGTGTGACTCAGATTGGGCCGCTTGCCCCCTTCCTTGTAAAGTTATTCCTTTTCCTTGTATAACTCGTTTCCTAGTTAAACTAGAGTTCCCAACATGTGGGTTCCTATATATACAACTTTGTACATCTCTTATTATTCATTGAGAAATATACAAAAATATTTCCCCATATATTCTCTCAAATCTAACAATTATAGAGTATTTAACAGCTTGCTCAAGTAGGAAATGTCATAAAAACTAAAACTTGAAAAGACAAGGAATATTGCAGAGGGTATTAGAACATGTGGCAACACACGATTATGCAAAGGAACAAAGAGTGTCATTATGGGAAGAACACAAATGCATCAGAGAATGGTGATTCAAATCTTTAAGGGAATCTCATTTATTTCCAATACCCACAAAGCAATACTTGCACAGTTGTAGAGAATACACTTGAATGACTCCATACTTACCTCCACACTCTCCACATCATCATGAAAATATACTTGACCTTCTAACTCTTAAGGTCACAGGCTCAAGTCCTAGAAGTTCCCTCTTGCGAAAAACACAAGGTAATGCTGCCTCGATAACACCCTAGCTATGTTGCACGGAAACTCCATATAGGCTGCCGTACCCGTTTCGGACACCTTGGACACGCCGACACGCCACGGACACGCCTGGAGACGTCTCGGAAACTCCACGTGGCGTTTCTGTAATTTTAATTTTTGAAAAAGAGAAAAAAACGCCAAGGAAACGGCTGGGACACGCGTGTCTCTTTTGGGAAACGGCAGGGACACCTCTTTTAAAAAAATGGGGTTCTTTTTATAAATTTTAAAAGTTTTGGAACTGGCTCAAATTATAAAAAGTATTATCTGGCCCTAAATCTTCATCGCTCCTCTATGTTACGCAGCTATCATATTCATCGACAATAGACAGCGGCCCTCGAAGAAGCTTTACGCTGCTGGTTGGCCAACTACTCGCCGACAAAGGGCGCGACATGAGGTGAAGTGTTCTCTCCAAATAAGCTTCTCGCTGACAAAGGGAGAAGCTTACGCCGCTGGTCAGTGACTTCTGGATTTTATGTTATGTATTTTGAACTTATTTATGCTTTAATATGTTTTGTAATGACTAAATTATGCTATCTCTTTCGAACTTATACTTTAATATGTTATGACTAAATTATGATATGTCTTGTGAACTTATACTTTAATATGTTTTGTAATGACTAAAATATGTTATGTATTGTGAATTTGTTTACATAATTTTATTTATATATATAATTTTTATATATAAATTTGGCGTTTCCCCGGCGTTTTGTCTCTTCATTTTTTCAAAATAGCCGTTTCGGCGTGTCCGTTTCGTTTCGTCTCCGTCCCCGTTTCCGTTTCAATGCTACATAGCACCCTAGTGGTGGGTAAGCTTTGTGCACCAGGTTGCCTATATTGGTACGGAGCTTATTTAAAGTTGAAGCCCACAATGAGTTCCATATTGCTTCTTGGGAATCTTGGGTACAACCCTAGTCAACCATACACCCTCTTTATCTTAATATAGGTATCACAAAGGGTGTTACTGAGGGCAATCAGGAATGTCCGGTACAGAACCAATTGTCTCATAAAGATTTAACGAGAGCAGCTAACCTAGTTGAAATACTTTAATGGGTGCATCAGTAGTAAAGTAAGAGTGAGCTCATAACTCTGTTATAACAAGCTTTGGTTAACGCGTTCACACTGTGTGTGTGTATTTAACAATTAAAAGGGCACTTCGGTTTTAAAATATGTTGTGGTTTAAAATTTTCAAAGCATACTTTTTAAAGAAGATTGAAAACAATAGATTTTCAAAGCAGTATATTGATTCAGAAGTTGGATAGTTGTTGATAAAATAAAACAGTAAAATAAAGTTTTTGAGAAACTATCCCTTTACAGGGTTTTTTTGGAAAACTGATTGAAAAGGAAACAACTTTGTTGAATGGTATTTAAGTAAAAAATTAATTAAGCTCAAAACACCCAATTTAATGAGCTAAACACTAGTCATGTTCATTTTGAAGATGGACAAGAAAAAACTAAAAACCACTTTCTTTTATTCTTTTCATAACTTTGTTTTTAGATTTGAATGTTTTCAAATCTAAAAAACATTTTGAGCAAAACATTTTCATACTACTTTCATATTGAAAAGAAAACCCGTTCCTAGCTTGTTTTTAAATTTCAAATCATTTTGAGCAAGGATTCACACAAGGGTGTTATCCAGATAACCTTACATTGCGTTTTTTTGCAAGGTGCTACGTCTAGGACTTAATAGTTAGAGGGTCGAGTGTCTTTTCTTAATAGATGTGGAAACTACAGAGGTGAGTATAAAATCTCTCAAGTGTATTCCCAGTGTCTGTGCAGGTATTTCCTCGTGTCCAACCATTGCCCGCGGAGCTAAAAGAGTCATTTTTGGCAATGTATTACTTTTGGATAAATAACAGACAAAATCATAATGATAAGTTAAACTTAACTTGCTTCTTACTTTCTATGATGTTTTGCGAAATAAATGCAGCAGCAATATGTAATGTTGCATACATCTTGATTGCCAAACCCCAATGGAGTTGAGATTATAATGGATCTAGTGTTATTGTTTTTAGAATAAAAAACACAAACGGAAACCATTCGGAACGAGCCCTAATTTCATAGTTTCTGGAGCATTATGATCATGACCCTCCATTAGCATAAGGGGTGTCTCAATTATGTCAAATTACTTGGATATGAAAAGAACCAACACACACTTTCAAAGAAAACCTCCATTATTCCTACATATCACCAAATCTCTACTCATATATATATTCTTAATCCTCACCAAAATGAGGATTCAGGCAATTCCTCAGGGCAGGGGCTTTATAGAAAAGCAGAATTGAACCTTAGCATTGCATTCACATTATGAAAAGCATATAAACACAAGGTGGGTAAAAGGGGAGGCATATTTGGGAGCAATTTAGGCTCTGAGAAACCCTAGATTATATATCTTAGAGATGCAGAGACATACCCTTGGCCGTCAAGGTTGGCCTGGCCGCTGCTTCCTCCACTTGCATAAGAATTGTCCTCCTGAGGCTGCCACACAGACTGCCACGCCTGAGAAGGCGGAGGTGGTGGCTGCACGTACAAGGACGGATCCACGCCAGGCAAGGCGGGCCTTCCTATCATGACACCAGGAGGTGCGGGCTGGCCAATTGGAGGGTAGTAGTAAGGGACACCGCTAGCTGTGGAGCCGGCGACGATCCCGGCGGCGCCAGGGCCGACGAGGGCGGCGGCCTCATCCTTGATCTCGTCTCTGGGCACAATGTCGACGAGAAAATCGAAGATGTCCGTGCGGGTGATGGCGGCGGCGATGTCATTCTTTTGGAGGGTGCGGCGCTTGTTCTCCTCGGCGTGGATCCAGGAGCGGATGGTGAGCTCGAGGATGAAGAGCTCGCAGGCCTTGGCGAAGAGGATGGGCGCCTCGGCTGAGATCATGCGGACGTCCTCGTCGGCCTTCATGATCTTCTTGATGCGGGCGAGAGGGAGCTGGTGATTTTTGAAGTCGGTCACCTGCTCGATCTCCTGCCGTTGGAAGTTCCAGAACAATTGCAGCTGCTGCTGCTGTTGCTGGAGGAGATGGTGGTACGCTGGCTGTGCCGGAGGGTAACCACCGGCTGTCTGAGCTGCTGCGGCAGCCGCCGCCGCCGCCGCCGCCGCCGCCGCTTGCTGGGGGCTGTTTTCCATTGTTTTTGGCAAGAAAGAGACTGACAGGGATAGTGGGCTTGGAAAAAAGTACGCCTCGCCCCGTTTTTATACACCCGATTTGATTGAACAAACAGAAATTTATTTTTATTTTTTTGAGAACATCAAATGTTCAAATACAATTCTTGATAATCTGTTACAACAAAACGATTTTCTAAATAAATTAAGTAAAATAATTCTAATCAAACATTTTAAAATAAAAAAATATGATTTTACATAGAGAATAAGATTTATTTCAATCTTACAGAAATGATTTATACTTTAGTGTCATATTAACTTTTTAAGAATAAGAGAATATGAAATAATCTTATTATTTTTTTTTATAGAAATTAGAATTTGGAAAATGTGTATAATGTAGGTCCCACATAAATATTTTTCCTCTTGAATTAAGTGGAGTACTTTGCACGGACTTTAAAAAACTATGTGTTTGAAAATGATGTAGAGGAAAGTGAAAAAAGTGAGCAAAGAAAAAATTTTCCAAAAAAGAAAAATGGAAGATTAGTTTAGGAAAACTCAAAAATAAAATAAGAAAGATTAAGTTGAGGGAGTATGAAAAATTCTATCATTTTTTATTTTTAAAAGGGTGCATCTAACTCATGAACACATCATTTTATAAATTTAAATATTGATAGAGAATGTCTCGATTAAAACCCACAACAATAAAACTACTTGCACAACACACCACTTGATGTACATTGTACCAAGTTGTACATCAAGAGTTTGCACTTGACATTCTTATGGCACGCATTGACATAAAATGTCTGTGCAATTCCAAATTTTCACACTAATATTTTGTGCTGGTGTGAGTTATCGATATATTAGTGCGAACCTTTGGTATACACCGAGTGATGTGTAGCACGGTTGAATCCACAATCCAAATTTAAAATTATATCTACAAATTTGTAAGCCTAATTCAAAATGGCAAGATCATTGCATAAATTTGTTGTTGCACTGCAATTTCATAATCATAATATAGATAAAAATGGAATGAACCAATTTGTTCTCCTTATGACCGACTAGACAATTACTTGGAACGAACTAATTAGTTAATAGAGCTATAATACATGCAAGATGCTAGTTCGAGATTACAACGTTCAAAAAATATACGCTCTTCATGAGAAAGTGTATGGATTTTCAAGAATGCTTAATAGCATTGACTGTATGTACTGAGAGTGGGCGACCTGCCCAATAGTTTTACGGGGCCAATATCAATGGGTGACCAAAGTCACCTGACATTGATGCTTGAAACACTAGCGTCAAATGATCTTTGGATATGTCATGCTTTCTTTGGAGTTTAGGGATCAAGTAATGATTTAAATGTTATTTGACCAGCTGCTGGTTTTTGATGATATCGTCAAGGGAGTTGCAGAACGTCATCTTTTATTGCCAACAGTACGGAGTATAATTTTGGTGATTATTTGGCTGATGGCATCTACCCAAAGTGGGCTACAGTGGTGATTAATTGATACGTTGAACTAATCAGGGAAGGATTCCAGGCTCCTTCACGCCACACCTGGGCACAAACCAAGAAGAAAAGAGAAGCACAACCGAGAGAGGAGAGGAAAGGGAAGAGAGAGAGAAAACTAGGGTTTAGGAAGAGGAAGAAGCTTGGGGGAAGAAGAGTTGTATTATTTTCTGATCTTTAGTACCTTGGATACAACTTCCTTATATAGAGTTTTCCCCAATCCAAATTACTACGTTTTCTATCCTGTCGGTTCAAGAAAAGCATCGAGGTAAAGAACTGAAAAGAAACCCTCGAAGGGGCTTATAATTCTGCCCACCTAACAAAAATCTAAATTAAATAATTAATAAATAATGCTAATTAATAATCAATGCAAATATCATTCGACGTAGTCCTCACACCATGCTGGTGTCCTCCTCGTCCGTGTGCTACGCTACGCCCCAATGCCCGGCTCCTCCCATGCATGGACGTCATCCCCATGCAACACGTCCTCCGGTACTTCCGCGGCTGCTTCATGCTCGTCCTCGTCTACGGTGTCGCTGTTTATCATGTTCCGTTGATCACCTCCAACGCCGGAATCATTCGTAACACAATCGTTTACTTGTCCACGCAAAGACGATGTGAAACATGTTTTTTAAAGAAAGCTCAAGAGTCTACTAGAAAGGATATCAAGCGCGGCTTCGATGTTCTAAAGAAAAGGTGGCATCGGATAGCTAATCCCGCAAGAATGTGGGAGAAAGAACAAATATCAAATGCCATGTACGTGTGTATTATCTTACATAATAGAATTTTAAAAGACAAGGGGTTAGCTATCTATGCAGACTACGAGCCAGATGATGACAACTTTGAAGAGGTCACCGAAGATAAACGAATTGCAAGACACGCCCAAATCCATAGTAGAGAAACGTACAACAACCTTAGAGCGGATTTAGTAGAGCATTTTTGGAAAAAATGACATTCAAATTAGTGTTGCGTGTATTGTTTTTTTTCTTTCACGTACTTCATGTTTTTTAATTTATGTATCTCGTGTACTTTTTTAAATTAATTTAATTTATGATTTTTTTTAATTCATAATTTTTTTGTATTTAATTGTTAAAATAAAAAAGCCTAAAATAAAAAAATAATCCAAAATGGAAAAAAAAATAATAACGAAATAAAATAGAATAAACCCGAAAATAAATTTTTATTAATTAATAATATTATTTTATAAAAGATATAATTTAATTTGAATAAAAATAGGTAACTAATTTTTTTAAAAAGTGTAATATTACAATGGTGATGAGATACTACAGGTGTAAAGTGAATGAGATGATGAGTACAGTTAGTGTTGATATGACGTTGAATGAGCACTAATTTGGAGTGAGCGGTGGTGATGCCTTACAGATAGCCTTAGAAATAGTGTTTGGAAAGTGTAAAAAAGTTGGCATAGTCATATTTTATATAATATGAAAATCCTTCCGTACTTGTAACATACTCGGTACTACCGTACTGTGGTTGTAAAATGAACGAATAATTCTGATTTGATTCGTGATTCATATTCGAAATCAATGAATCATATTCGAAAAAATGAATACAAATAATAATATAAATATTTATTAGAATTCGAAAGAAAACAAATCTAAATGTATATGCATTTGATTTGATATGTTGACGAATACATTCGAATATAAATATAAAAGTTTATATCTAATATACTGCTTTATAATAAATACACAGCATAATATATAGTCTTCCATAGTTTGTTTGTTTGTGTAGTACTCCGCAGTTGATACTTGATAATACACATTTAGCTTTTGGGCGCCATATAAAAAAAGTACTCCCTCCGTCCATGTATGATCTTCCCATTACGCGTTACGAAGCTTGACCGACTTTATTTTCAATTCAATTTATTTGATTATAGGAGTAAAATTTTAAAATAAAATTTATATAGTAATAAACTACATGAAAAGTTCTACAAAACTAGAGGTGACAAGAATATATTATTTTATGAAATGACTAGTAAAATTGAGTAAACAAAGTGAGTAAAGTTTGACCATGTGAATAGTGTTTGGGAAGATCTATGGTGGACAGAGGGAGTATTTAAATAACTTTAAATGAATGTGTAAATAAGAATTGAAATATCAAGTAATTATAAGAAGGCCTAGTACCATAAGTTCATACTCTATAAAACTTAGTCACTTATTCACTACTAGCACTAGGGCTGTTCACATTTAGGTCCGGACCGAAAAAACCGACCGAACCGGACCGTTAGGTCCAGACCGAACCCGGACCGAATGGATTTTGGGTCGGTCTTCGGTCCAGAAAATTTTGGCATTCGTGTTTCGGTCTGGTCGGTCTAAACTCGAAATGATTTAGGTCCGGACCGATTGAACCTAATGACCCTACTGGACCTAAAAGACCTAAATACTAAAACTCTACTTTTTAAGTTCGGTGTTACACTTTAATGCTCAATTTTAATAGATACTTTAATTTATTTAATTAAAAAGCTTTTTTATTAAGTAATTTAAAAAAATCTAAAAAAAGCGTTTCATATTTGTTTTTATGGTTCTACATTGAAGTAGTTCATATTGTGTATCCATTTTAAGGTTGCAAATTTTTTTATTCATTTTCTATTTGAATGGTACAAAGTAAAAAGTCTAAAATATATTTAATTGATCAAAATAATAAAAAAAATATGTATTTTTTTCGGTCCAATCGGTCCGGACCGGTTCAGTCTTAAATATTTCGGTCCGGTCCGGTCCAAACCTGAGTAGATTTAGGTCCGGTCTTCGGTCCTTAAATTTACTCATTTCAGTTTTTTATTCATTTTCTATTTGAATGGTACAAAGTAAAAAGTCTAAAATATATTTAATTGATCAAAATAATTAAAAAAAATATGTATTTTTTCGGTCCAATCGGTCCGGATCGGTTCAGTCTTAAATATTTCGGTCCGGTCCGGTCCAAACCTGAGTAGATTTAGGTCCGGTCTTCGGTCCTTAAATTTACTCATTTCGGTCTTCGGTCCGGTCTGGGTCGGTCCGGTTCGGTCCAGTCTGGGTCGGTCCGGTCTTAGACCGATGAACAGCCCTAACTAGCGCAGTACATAAATTCATTACTTTGAATATTTTCTCGATTGCCTGTTTAACTATTTTGTGTATAGCCGGTTAGTATTGCACAGTTGGCAAGACAAGAAGTGCCAAGGAGGCAAGACCTGATCAGTTAGATTCCTGGCAACGACTCATCCTTTTTTTGTATAAAGCCTAGTACTTCCTTATATTTTCTCATTCACCTGTTTAACTATTCTGGCACATTAAACACCAAAGTACCAAACTATCCATGTCGCCCAGTTGAACATGATTTCATATTCTAACGACTTAAATCGTTGGAACATATCAATATATGTTGGCTCCAAAATGGCTGCCCGCAAGCCCGTTTGGCTTTATTTTTCCAACACAAAGCTTGGGATTTAGGTACATTCTCCCACGAGATTAGGTGGACAAAAGGTTCCCGCGGTGTCATCCGGATCTACCCGAGTAAAGGCGACGTTTGGGCTATGTACAGTGAGTGGTCACCCGAATGGAACGAGTTGACTCCGGACGGTGTGGTTCACAAGTATGAGATGGTTCAAATAGTTGATGAATTCGAGGAGGATGGAGTTGCTAAGGTTGTTCCCCCAGTCAAAGTGCATGGTCATAGGTCGGTGTTTAAGCAGCACGTGGACACAACGAAATCCGTTCTATCCCAAAAGAAGAGATTTTCAGGCTATCCCACCAAATTCTTTCTTATGTGATAACGGGCTTTGAAGGTCCAAATGCTCCTCCCTCCGTGGGGTTTCTCGAGCTCGATCCCACTGCATTGCCTCCTGAACGCTGCCATGTCATAGGAGTTGAGGAACAAGGCAAGGAGGTGGGAGGAGAAGGGTGGCCACATGGTCAAGAAAATGATATTGTAGACCCTCGTTTTCGTTTGACATATTTCAAAAAAACGAAAGGAGAAAAAATCAGCGATTAAGAGCACCGTTGTGACTGATGAGATGATGACAACCGATCCGTGATCAAAGGGAACACAGCCTCTTTTGTAGTCACAAAGAGTATATGAAAGAGAAATAAAATTTTGAAATGTAGCATTGCCGGTTGTCTAGAATGTTAGTTACGTTTAGATGTACTCCATATGTAGTTTTAGAGTTCATAAGTAAAAATATTTGAGATTTTCTAAATTTATTTTTATGTTTGGATGATACTTTTTCTTAAGATCGAAATATATCTAATGTTCAAAGGTTTTTGGAGGTCAGGGGTGACCATTAAAAAACTTATGTTGTGCATTAGTTTTCTTGCACGCCAAAGAGCTCTTATTTCTTCAATGACTCATTTGTAAACAAAATATATTATTTCGTACATAATTCTGTACTAGATGTGGTAAAATTTTAGAATTGCTATTTCAATTGACTCGCTTGCATTGATCTAAATGGGACATTCTTGGTAAGAAATACATGCATAAATTTGTCTTTGTGCAAGTTGTTACTTTTTTAAAATTCAACTATGCCTAGATCCTATTAAATATGTTATCTTTAAATGTATACATAAATCTCTAAGTTACACAATTAATTATATTATTATCCAAAAAATGTATGTCAAATCTTAAAGATTTCACCTGCCCTTTCCCCTAGAGCATTGAGTGGATAGACATATAAATGGTTTATATGGACATTACGAGTGAAAGCAAGACAGTAGAGTAAATTCCATAATTGGTCCTTTATAATAGGGGGGTTTCCATATTTAGTCCCCTATTATCAAATATTACCCCTGTAGTCTTTTTTTAAGGGTACCTTTTCATAAATGGTCCTCTTTTTGATCTTTTGTCGTGTTGGTGTTAATTTAAAGGCTAAAAGTATAATTTGACATCAACATTATGTTTAGTGACATGTTCTGGTATTGGTTAAGCGGATAACACAAAAATAATGACTATGGTTGTGGGCTAGAGTTCTGACGAAAGACCACATTTGTAGACTATGATTGTAGTAGAAAGCGACTCTAATTCACAAACGACGCAAACGGAACAGCCTTTGAAATTGTGTATGACAAAAAAGATATATTACCATTGTGAAATTACACTTTTAGCTCTCAAATTAACACCAACATGATAGAAGATCAAAAAAAGAACTATTTTTGGAAAGATACTCATAAAAGAGGGACCACTCGGATAATATTTGAAAATTGGTTTGTACGGAGTATTTAAAATATATGTATGGGCTCGTAACACACTTAATGGGATCTACACAAAGTAAAATTTAACTAAAAATTTAACTAAGAGCTCTTTGATTTGCAAGAAAACTAATTTGTAACTGAAGTTCAATGAAATACACAAGGAGAAATAATGAAGATATTTCAAGAAAAAAATTAATAAACATGATCTAAACACAGAGTATAAAATGAATAAAAAAATCCATAACTATTTCATTTTTAATGTCAAAAACTACATATTTCTACCTATACTCTTTACAACCATTTAATGTTACATTACAAAAAAAATCTCTTCTTTGTACTCTTCATTGTCACTCCATAAGAGGTTTGGTTTCATTTGATCACCTATCTTTAACATTCTATACATTTGGCCCTAATTCCAAAAAGTCAGTGCTCTTCTATAGTTCTATGTACTCTTCATTGTCATTTCAAAAGAGGCTCTATTCCCTTTGATCACTGGGTGTCATCATCTCATCAGCCTCTTAATCGTTGACTTTTTCCCCTTTCGTTTTCTGAAATATGTCAAACGAAAGCGTGGGTCCACAATGTCGGGTTCTTGACCGTGGGGCCTCCCTTCTCCTCCCACCTCCTTCCCATGTTCCTCAACTCTTATGACATCGAGGAGTTCAGGAGGCAAGGCAGCGGGATCGAGCTCGAGAAACCCCACAGAGGGGGGAGCGTTCGGACCTTCAGAACCTGTTATCACAAAAGAAGGGATTTGGTGGGATAGCCTGAAAATCTCTTCTTTTGTGATAGAACGGATTTCGTTGGGGTCCGCGTGCTGCTTAAACACCGACCTATGACCATGCACTTTGACTAGGGGAACAACCCTAGCAACTCCGTCCTCGAATTCATTGACTATTTGAACCATCTCATACTTGTGAACCACACCGTCCAGAGTCAACTCGTTCCATTCGGGTGACCACTCGCTGTACAGAGCCCAAACGTCGCCTTTACTCGGGTAGATCCGGATGACACCGCGGGGACCTTTTGTCCACCTAACCTTGTGGGAGAATGTGTTGAGGGAAGCGTTGACCACAGACTTGCCCATCCAGAAGTCACCACTGGTTTTGGGAAACCCAGAAACAACCCATTTCATAGGTCCCAGTTCACTGTTAGTCTTGGAGTTCAACCAACTGATGCATGTCTTGAATGGTCTTTTGGACATCACCTTCTTGATCATGGCATAATATCTTGGCATCCCATCATCACAGTCATAAGCAGCCCATACTTCATTCTCTGCAAAAGATTCTTCCATTCTGTCCTTATCAAAATCATGAAACTCTGAATCTGGAACACTCATTGTTGAAGACTCAAGAAGAAGATTATCTGATGATGACTTCTTGTTCTTCTTCTTCTTCTTCTTCAGCTTGTCATTGTCATATTTCTCATCTTTCTCTGTAACATAATCCCATTGCTCTAGTTTCTTTTTTACTTCTGATAAGGCCTTCCCTATTAGCATATTGCGCATCTCCACCCCCATAACTTTGGGTTTGGTTTTTTTATTCACTGAAGCATTTTCTTTTGAAGCCATTATTTGAGCCATCATCCTCTTTCTTTTGAACCTGAATTCCTCTGCTTGTGTAGCAGTAGCTGGACAGGAAGGTGGCACCATTGGCCTCATTTGGCCAACCCCAGAAGACATTTTAGACGGCATTGTTGCCATGTTTGGAGGAGTTGGAAGGAGTCTCGCCCCAGGAGAGGGGCATTTTGGGAATAGCCGATCTAAATGAGCCCTTTCCTCTGTTGCCCAAAATGGCGAATGGCAGTGGGCGCAGGCGAGGAGTTTGTGGAGGTAGACTACTGAGTACTCGAAATGTGTGCCACAGGTGCTGCATTTAGTCCAGAAGGTCTTTCTCCCTGGCAGGAAAGCCGGTGGTGGTGGTAGTTGTGTGGTGGTTGGCCGGATATTACTAGCGGCGGTCGTTACAGCAAGCCGTTGTCGCATGTCATAGCTAGCTCTTTTAGCAGGATCAGACAAGAGACTCCAGGCTTCAGAGAGTATCTTGTAGGCCCCACTGGCCCTGCAAGAGTCGTTCTTGTGGGGCTGAAGGGTCAAAGACATCCTCGTATAATGCTTCCACAACGTTTGGTTGTCTGCCAAAGAATCCACGCCGAGGATAGCGTACCAGTCTACTTCTCCATTGATCGTCTTCCGGATGTTACAGTAGACGTTGATGACTTCAACCAGTTTTGCGAGCCCATCTAGGCCCGCAAACAGGTTTTGGGCTTTTAGAGCGAAAACTCGGGCACCAATGAAGTCCTTATCCAACAGCTTCTTCTCTGCAACTTCTTTTGCCTTAAGGGCTTCCACTCTATTGATCTCCATTCCAAGACTTTGTTGTACTAAGTAGGCTGAAAAAACGAGAGAACGTATGAAGAAAAAAAAGGCTCAAACTTGTCATACGTTACGTAGGAAACGCAACATAAGAAAACGTCATTTTCCCCTACAAACATTTTTTGAAAGTCGGAAACAGGCATTGGGGATTCAATGATGCTTAAGGTACACAACCCAATTTTTTCTGGGTTTTGGCGGGGTGGGACCGGACCAATTTGGCGTCTGGCTCCGGGTTTAGTAACACTGCTTTGAATGTGTGTGAAAAAAGTACGATGCACAACTTTGGCTCGGATATGATCTGATTTTAACAAGAATAAGTAATAAGCTGAAAAATAAGTTGAACAGACCCTTCCTCTACACAAGAGAGGCATACAGAAAAAACATATTTTGTTTTACGAATAACGCTAGACTGTGGCGAGGGAGAGTTAATATCACACGCTAACGAAAGATACAAACAAGGAAAGGAATTGAAACCACACATAAAGTTGAGTGAAATGGTTGTGAGGAAATGCAGATCTTAATGCATAATCTAATACAAGTATTAATGCAAACACACTTGTTTAGATCTATCACAAATCACAATTGGATCCTCTATAAATATGTTCATGTAAACACACTTTGAATAGATCCATCAAATCCTTCTTCACATTCTTATTCAGATGATCCCAAATTAATGAAGTGAAATCAACTCCAAAACACTCAAGTTTTTTCTTAAATGCAAAACTGAAACTTTCTGACACATGCTTTAAACAAAAGTGAATTGAAAAAGGAAACAAAACCTGGAAAAAATTAGCATTAATGAAGAACATATACAGAGCAGAATCAAGCAGATATAATTATATGCACAATTTTTAAATAAAATGTAAATTCAATAACAAAAATTAAGAATTTCAGAAAAGCTTCCTGGCCTTTAAGAACTTCAAATTTCAGCCCTGCAAAATTTTCCAACCAGAAAAATATGAGGAGATTTTCCTTTACGGAAAAAATAAACATATAAATACGAATTCAGATTAAAAAGGAAAAACAGCATTATAGTTTTTTATTTTTATCAATAAAAATAAAAAAATAATAGAAATAAATAATAAATTACCTGTATGTATATGAATCGTTCTGATGAGTAATGCAAGAGCGCTTAGAGTGAGAAGAAATTGGTTCGTCAAATTCTATGATAAAGGGACTGAATTTCAGATAATATTTGTGAAACCCTTGAAAATATTCCTAAGTATTGGAAAAAGAACAGACATATTATATTGTGGGTGGTTTAATTATAGGGAACCCATTAACATTAACCCAACCGAGGTTAAATTCTAAACCTGATTAAATTTGACTTGACAGGTAATTAAGTGCATGTGTTAATATTTTTTCCTATTTTATTTTTTTAATAATGATATTTCCTTTTCTGCATTGTTTTATATTCTCCTTTCTCATCTGTGGATTTTGGTCTTAATTAATGACTTGTTTAGTGATAATTAATTGTTTGCTTAATTAATCATGTTTGAAATTTGGAGGACAAATTCAGTTTTTACTATTGGCATTATCAAATCTAATATTCACAATTTTTAAATATAATTTCAAAATCTAAACATTGTATTAGGGGGGCCTTTAAACCTCCTAGAAATTCAAAACAAAAAATCAGGTTTGAATAAAACAGTAAAAAAAACTTTTCGCAAAATTTGAAACCCAGGTTTGAACAAAAAATCAGGTTTGAAACCCAGCAGCATTGTCTTGCTAGTGAAATTTTAATGTTTTTTAAAACAATGAAATTTGAATTTTTTTTCTTTTGCTGCAGTTCAAGTGAGAAGAGTAGAAAACAGTAAAAAAAATATTTAATCTGTAATGTATTATCATCTTAGCGAAGAAGTTCAAGAAATGAAAAAACCATAAGGGCTAAAAAAGAGGTGTAAAATGCCAAAACTAGTATTATATATTTTTTCTCCACTTTAACGCCTCGTTGTGGAGGAAGTGGGGGCCGGGTCCGTGCACGACTCGTTCACATTGCACATTTATCAATGAATGTATGATCTCAGTGTGTACGTGGCAGGCGATGGGGAAATTCGGCCAAACTTAAAGATCAAATAAACCGACTTATCTCTATTAAAAGATTCATGTGATAAGCTCGTGACTCAAAATAATGATAAAAGTGTCGTTTTCTTCAATTTCGCGAAAAATGTAACTCGTTCATCAATTTTTTTTCCTACCATGTGACAGATCGGAATAACAGATACATTGCCATTTTGACTTTTGAGTGTGAAATCTTTCAAATTGTTGGATGATGGGATCTTTAAAACCAAAAAATGCTGCAAAAAAAAAATAGTACCAATTATGCAGATTCATAGGAGTCATTGGCAAGACATATATCAACATTAATGATATGAAAATGCATGAAACACTTGCTTGAATAAGTTTTAAGAAACTATATACCACTAAACTAATGATTTATCTGAGGTCTACATTTATCAAACTTTATTCAAGACAGAACATTTGTGGATATTAGCTGAGTAGTTCAACAAGAAACATACATAGCTAAATAGGAAATTGTTTGATGGTGGTTTATTGAGAGCCTCCATGCCTACCTGTTGGTTTGGTCAAGCCCATTTAGGGCTCGGTTTCGGTCCGTCCGTCCAGCCCTTTTGTTGTTTTAGCCCGGTTTAGTATCCCACACCGGTCGTCTGTTGGGTTCCGTTGTTTGGGACTTGGGTTAGTATATAAATGTGGAGAAACCTCGCCATTGACAGTAATGATAACAACAACCTTTTGGAAAGACAATCAGTAAAAATGCTTTGGTGTTTATAATCAGACAATATAGCAAACATGAAGACAAATTTTAGAATCTCAACAAACTACAGGTCCACAGTTATTAAACAAAAGAAAACGAAAAGGAAAAAAAAACTACGAGGGGGGAAAATCAAATTCCTCCCGTTTTGTCGAGGAAAATGAGAAAAAATCATTTTTCTTTTCGTTTTGAATTCCTTGAATTGTGTAGGAGTGAAACATGATTTTACTATGGTCTATATTGAGTAAGTATACTCTACTCCTAAGGACACTTATAAAATAGCATTCTTTTAGGGTGGGGGATTCGGTCCCTATTGGGGAGATACTAAAGGGGAAGGTCATTTTTCCTCCACCTGTCTCTAACATCATACCATTCACAGAGTGTTCACGTATAAAACTTTAGATAAAAATAATTGAACAACCATTAGAAAACGATGACTTTTATCTCACAAGTGCAACGTAAGCAACTCGATACATAATATAGAACAAGTCAAATTGGACAAATACACCGGATTAGACATTCTCAAAATTTATTTATGTTCCAAATTTTCATGGGAACAACAATCGTTAATACAGAGCGAGTATATGGACAACGTCATCATAGGAATGTAGGCATAGCTAAAGTTCATATGATCAGAGTACAAAAAAATGGATTCTGCTACAGTCACACCAAAGTTGACACCACCACAGACTATGGCCATATGTGCAAGATTGTGGTGTTACCCTTGAGGTTAAAGTAGCACTATTGCGACAAAAAAATGGCGGTATGTAGAATTTACAGCATTCAATCTGTTGCCTGACAATACATACAATTGGCATCCTGATCGAAAAACTCCTTGAATTGTGCCCCCGGGAGAAAAGAATTGAGACTTGTCGCCATCTTGGAGCCCATATACACCAATATATAAGGAATAATACACGCAAATCACATACCACCGCCACCGCCACCACAACAACAGTTGGTTCTTCAAACTGATGAGCTTATGAGTTGTTTCTTCTCAAGAAGGCTAATATGCCTAAGGCAGCAACTAATGCGGCACCAGTGGCCACGGCACTGTAGGCTGCTGCCCATGCATCTGTCTGATGAGCATATTCCATTTCCATACCGCTCGATCTAGAACCCCCCGCCCTACGGTGTGGCACTCTTGAGTAATCTAGATGCAACCTTAGTCCCTGTTGGTCAAGCATATGTTATTTTCCAACGTCATGGTTGTAACTATATGATGCAGAAGAAAAGAGCACTCAAGTTTACATAATGGATTACCTTCCAACCAGCCGACCTTGCATGCTCAACAGCTGTAATCAGATCACTGTCCGATGCAAGTACAACTTTGTCATGGTCTTCATCCTCATACTGCAGTTGAAAAAGTTTTGCATGTAAGCGTTGTTGATGAAGCAAGAGAATGTCTTAATTGGTTGTGTGAGCGCATGTGTGGGAGCATAAGAAGTTAGTTGAAACATAGATTTCAAATAAATATGCATTATTACAAGTTTTGAATCCTTTTGTTTAAAACTATTGAGTATTGAAATTTGTAAGACTGAGTTATATTGGACTTTTAGGTTGCCTCTCCCATTGTGTGGGTGCATGAGTTTTAGGTGTCCCCTCAGGCATTTTTGTTCATGAAATTAAAGTTTGGGATCTCATTACCAGAATCTGAGGAAGGCTGTTCCAGTGAATGTCACTCCCCAATCTCTGAAGGATTGCAGTGATGAGGTCGGTCATGTTTCGAGTATCTGAGCACAAAACCGTAAAGAATCAGCAACATGGGTACATGAAGAATCATTACATTTTATTTGTTACCATATTTTAATGCAATGAGTGACAGAAAATTCCCAAAATAGAAGGATAAAGGAAGTTGCAGCAACTTGGATAAATAATTTGAGAACTCAAACTTGAATGTAATGCCATCAACAATACAATAACAACCCAAAACATCATTGAAATTAAGAAGCAAAGGAAGTCTGATGTTCCATTTTGATTTAGTTCATTATTTACTCAGAGTTAACACATTGTCAATTACGACCCTTCTAGCTCCATTGGCAAAGGAGCTAGAATGTAACATCACGGTTATAAAACAAACATGTAAGTCATTCAAACATATTACATACCGCTGGTGAACCTATGCATCCTTCCCTTTCTGTCTTGGATCTTAAAAGAAAAAGTATTTGGCAGTGCTGACGAAGGAAATGGAAGTGATATTCCCGTCTCCTGCCCTTCTGAAGTCATCTTTAAGGAGCCTTCACTGTTTTCTCACAGAAATAGATGAATATTAGATAAAGGCGGGAAACGAGTAAGTATAAATGCAAAGAGAACAAATCACAGAAGCAGGCAACAACCTGTGTGTCTCTTCATCATCGTTAGGAGGTAATGCCATAGCAGAATCCCAAAACTTTTGCATCATAGTATTTGCAGCTTCTTCATTAACTCCAGCAGTATTTCCTACCTGCTAGTCAAGTGATGATTATTGGATAGTAGAATGATTACAAGTTTTGGATTTATAACCCTATTGATATCATTAAAAATGGTTTGATTGGTTGCAGAGGTTTTCAAAGGCATTGACAATGGTTAGATCGTTAAACATGTAGCTTCTGTTGCTAAGTGTACCCAGCACCATCACGGGTTTAAACTTTGAATTTTGAAGAATGGTTCAATAAGTTCAGTTTAAATTGCACAAAAGTGTTTCTGTCAGGCATTTAAATCTGTTAAGCTACAAACAAAATCCATATGCCAAGAAAAGTGTTGCCCCTATCTTATTCATTTCCGATTGGCTAGTTTTTTGTGGTATCAAAGAAATCAAATGATAGTTTCCCATGACAATGCACCTCTTTTGTTAGCTAGAGTAGACAATTGCTATATACTTGGTATGTTTTTCAGACTTCTACAAAGATATGAAGTTTTATGACATGAAAAATGATCGGGTGGGGATTGGTTAGGTTATATGGAGTAGATATGAGTTTACTGTCATGTCCTTATTAAGTTACTCTTTACCTTTTATTGTGTAGGATACCAACTATCCCTATCCCTATCATTGCTCTAACAAAATAGTAAATCCCAGAAGTAAAATTCAAAAAATTATTTTGTAATAGGACACAAACTTTGTTTCCCCAATATTACATTATTAAAGACAACAAGATGCAGATCAATACTCCAGAACCATCTGGGGTTTCAGAAACTGTTTTGCACTAAAATGATGCATAAATGAGTGTCTTACCGTGGAAATAGCAGCACGAGTGATATGGATTACATCTACAACATCAACAATTGCTCCATCTGCAGTAGATCATAAATAAGAAGTGCTAAACATAATTCGTTAACCATTTTCTGTTCTTCAAAAAGGTGAATTACCTTTATCAGCAATGGGCATGTGTAAAAACTGTCCATCATGCATCCTATGTAAAGCATCCAAAATAGGTGTATCAACACTTGCACATTCTGGATTAGGGGTCATGACCTACAGTTTAGATTAAAATAAAATGGTGAGAAATATAATCCATTGTATTCGTTTCATACACACCAGCCAATATTAATGATTTTCGGTGCAAATAGTACCAATAGGCTTCACGCCATTTCAGTTTCAATGCACACTACCGGTGAGAAGTATAAACTTTGTGCCTAGTATTTTTATTTGAGCTAATAACAAAAGTATCTTTTGAACAAGAAAAATTGAAAAACAAAAAAGTACCTTATCCACTAAAGTTGACTCAGGAGAGAGATCTTGTGCTATGACTCGCATCAAGATGTCCTTTGAACTGAAAAGAGTATAAAAGCTATCTTATCACAATACACTCACTATGTTATATACTTATATTTTTAAGATATCAAAGAACTCACGTAAGAATTCCACATGGTTTGCTCTCGACTGTTACTATTGCAGAGCTTGTTCGAGATTCAAGCATCTTCTTGGCTGCAACTAGAACATTGTCGCTTGGTTGAACTGTGACAACCCTGGCAACACCAATGCAATAATAACTCATGTAAAAATCCAACTTTGTCATAGCTCTCTGTGGATAACATGTCAAAAGCAAGACATTGATAATCATCATACACTTATAAATCTAATGATATTACCTACTTTGAGTTATCAGAAATTATTGTCGACAAGGAGGGTCTGAACATCCGCTCTCTGATTGTTTCAATAAATGTATTAGAGCCTGCATCAAGGGAACATCAAACGCGTGTTTAACTTAATATAATCAACGAAAGCATTAGGAGTGCCATAAGACATTAAAAAAATTATGGTCAAGAGCTAATAGAATACCGACCATAAATGGACGCACCCCAGTGCTTCTCAACACCCTCGACAGCAGCTGCTATAGCTTTTCCCTTCTCAACCGCCCTTTCCAACCGGGCAATAGCATCATACAGACATTTTGCTATATCAAGCAAAGCAATGACCTCACCATTTTCCACAACTGGAAGATGTCTAAATTTTCCTGCAGGCAAATGAGGGGACATTGTTATAAGTGAGATTCTATCTTACATGCAGTAGAAAGTAAAAAGCCATACCTTGCACCATTTTCTGCAAGGCTTCAACAGCAAGGGTGTCAGAGAGTACAAACACCGGGTTTCTTGTCATAACCTTAGAAACAGGTGTTTCTTGAATATTAACTTCCCGAGCAATTACTCTTATTGCAATATCCTTCATCCACATAAACAAAAAAAGGGATATAAAGTTTAGAGAAGGCATCCATGTTCAGCATTCCAAGAAGAACCATTAGACTAGTACACTTGTTCTCCTTGGTTCATTGGTGTTTAGAAGTACCAAACATTACTACAGTCAAACCTTATCTGTCATGATCCCACATAGCAATGCATTTGAGTCGGTCAGCAATAAAGCATCAACTCTGCGAGCAGCCATACGACGGCAAGCCTCATATATTGTTGTTGTTTCAGGTACTGTAAGAGCTTTTGACAGACGCAATCTCTTCACTGTCCTTTCCCCAGTCAGTCCCCTGCTCCAAATTAGTGGCAGAATGAATTAATGAGTTATAAAAAAAATATTCATTTAAAAGTATACTTAGACCAAAGCAGGTGCGTTTCTAGTATTTATGTTCTTAATCACAAAATTTCAATCAACATATCTGCCCACGGTGTCCCTGCCTGACAGTAAAACTATAGCACTGTTGGGATTTTAAGAGCAAAGTCCACAATTGTTAGAACTCTGTAGTGTTGTGCACACACCATCTAGTTAGATGCACACACACACACACATATCCTAAAACCCATGGCTCATTATATAGCAAAACACTTCGGCAACAAGTAAAAGAAGACATAAAGCAAATCTCAACTTCTAGCCTCAAATTTCTGCTGAAAGCACATTGCACATACTCCTTTCTTTTTCCTTTTTTTTCCTTTCATTTCTTTTCCTTTGACTATTTTAATCAGGCCCAACAAGTACTTCATTTACATAAGGAACTGAAATGATTAAGAGATCAAAAAAACATCCGGATAGATTAAAAGGCACAAGGGAGATGGAAGAAGTGAAATGGCAGCTATCCTAACTTATCACTCAGCTGTTAATGAATGAACCAAAAGTAATGTCACGTGTTTTTTTCTTTTAAAAGGCATTTTAACACATTCCAACTTTTACTTGGTTGGGTTGTTGGGACATAGATTCAAGCACAAGGTTGTCAACTTCAAATGCGGAGTTTATTGCTCTTGTTACGGTGGTCTTAAAGAAATACTTTTTCAACCATGCATCCACCTAGAAGAATATGTTACAGTATTCCGATTGAAAATATGATACGGAGAGTTATAAAATATATGGAGTTTTTTTATTTATATTGCACACACAGATATCGATGTAGTTTTCTGGCATTTTGGCCACATCAAAAACCATAAAAATCTGTGAGCTCTTTGTTAGTTGCAGCCTATTGGCGTATGACCTAGAATCTAGATTGACCTGGCCTCAATATTTTTAATCAATGTAAGAAAGCATCGATTAATTGAAATCGACTCCTGCAAAATCGAGGATTGAACACAGAAGACACCTAACTGAGACATAAAAAAACCAAGTCATCACAATAATGCAATAATTATATAACGAGTGGGAGGAGGAAAGACACTTGCGGAACAATGTTCTTTGTCTGTAAAGACTTTGGGATCAAACTTGGCTACCTAAACATGACTCTTCAAAAATTGAATTTAGTGTAGAAACATGCTACAAATCCTGACATAATTAGTACTTTGTGTTTCATATGTTGACCTAATGGGGCCCATGGTAAATCGCCAAGGCGAAGGAGCAATGCGATGAAGTGTTTGAAGGTACAAACTTTCCTAAAACTAAAACAGAATTCGCTGCAGAAAGGTTCTGAACAGACTTCCTTTCAGGCTTCCAGTAAACAGTTTCTTTGGTCGCATACATTTGCACCCCTTCCCGCCTGAAACCTAAGGCCAGCTAGAATTTCTTTTTCAGATTTATTTTTGTAAATCTCTCTCGCACATCACATTCATAGCAATAGTTTTTCCTCCTAATCAATAGCCACCGGAATAGGGTAATCACTTAATGCACCTTACTATCACTTTGTCATATTCTCCTGGGCTATAATTCATGATTCTTGACATTCATAAATTGTTGAGATTATTCCACCATAGCCCAGAGAGAATTTGACAAAATGAATTGTTTCATTTTTTTTTTTGAAATTTACAGGCCATATGTGTATGAACATTGAACACAGAAGATGCTTAAATGAAACATAAAAAAAAATCAGTGATCACAATAATAGGGCGATTATATAACGAAGGAAGGGATAGAGGAAAGCGAACATGGAGCGAGAGGAGGAAAGAGACTTGCGGGAGGCGGAGTCCAGCGGCGTCGCACCTCCGCAATTGTCCGCCGCCGAAGATCTCCTCCTGGCGTAGGACGGCGAGCTCGCAGCCGACATGGACGCGCTTCTCCTCGACGGAGATCCTACACCTGGGCTCGTCCTCATTGCTGAGAGGGAGGGGGGTGCTGAAGATCAATGTATTCCCGGGAAATTGAGGGAGAAGATGAATTTCCCGGGAAAATGGAGGCTCCTTAGAGGGGGGAAGAAGAAAGGGAGAGGAATTGAAACTCGAAAAAGCTTTCCCCTCTCGATCTCTTTGAACGAAACTGAACGGGTTAGGGAAATTTCGTCTACCAGAACTTTCATCTCAGAAATTTTATGGACGAGCTGTGATTCGGCCATGGCGTCCAGCCATGTCCACGTTTCTCCGTGACGCCGTACATGTTTCCGAATCTTGCGGAGTTGCTGAGTTGAGGGTCAAAATTTGATTTTTTATTTTTTTTTTGAGACATGCAACAAATGAAAATGTGGAATAGGGGTACGTATATTTTAGAGTCTGCTGTACAGAAATTATGGTCCAGTCCAGTAGTACTTATTTTGAAATTAATGATAAAAGAGTATTCATTTTGAAATAATGTGGTGCTCATTTGAAATCAAGATAACACTCATTCTGAAACAACGTAGTGTTCATTTTCAATTATAATGTTTATTCTGAAATAATGCAGTGTCCTTTACTCAAATAAAGGAACGTCTGATCTCAAGCTAGTTACCTTTCGTAACCATCCAAATAAATGGCTGAAGCGTATGGAATATGAAGCCCTCTTTCATCTTTCAATGTCGGTGGACCTAGGGTTTCACAGGCTAGGGGTGGACACGGTACCGGTACGGTACCGTCACCGGCAACGGTACCGCCGGTACCCGCCACCGTCACCGGCGTCGTCGCCGTGTCACCGGTTCCGGGAACCGGTTCCGATACCTATTTTTTGGTACCGGTACCGGCGGTACCGGTCCGGTTCCGGTACCGGTTAATTTTTTTTTTTTTTGTTCATTTCAAATCCTGCAAAAAGTTTAAAAAAAAAA